CCAAAACCCAGACACCCACTAAGACTTCGAACTGCACCCCGCGCCCCAGATTCTTAAGAAGCATCAGTCTGCACAGTCTCCAGCACTTCCCAAGGGCCCAGCAGCCTCGCGGCCCCCGCCAACCGAGCATGCTGCTGCTAGGAAACGCCGTTCCACCCGCACAAGCCAACAATACGGCAGCAAAGCCTACTCCGGCTGCCAGTTCTGCACCAAGAGCCGCACCTCCGCCGCCTGCGCCTGCCGCAACAAGCAAGCAAGCCTTCTTAAAGCACGCCAATCCCTCGCAGGGCATCACTGAGCCGCTGATTGAAGAGTCCCTGAAGATCTTTGGTGCAATCGATAAGGTTGAGATTGACAAGCGAAAAGGGTTCGCCTATGTCGACTTCACTGAACCCGAGGGCTTGCGCAAGGCCATGGCTGCTAGTCCCATCAAAATTGCCCAAGGCGCCGTACAGGTTCTTGAGCGCAAAGAAAAAGTAGCCCGACCTGCTCTCAACCCCCGCTTCAATGGCCCTCCTCCCACAGGCGCCATCGACACATGCTCGTGGCGGTCGTGGTGGATTTGGACCTGGACCCCGAGGAGGACGCGGTGCCCGTGGTGGAGCTAGGGGAGGTGGGCATGTTGCTGCCACTCCTACTTCTGGTCCTGCCGACTCTGCGCCCGTTCCCGCTGCTGCTCCCGCGCCCACACCAGTCGCAAGTAACGATGCCGCTACATGAATATATCGAGTGAGCTTGAATCTCCCACAGTAGGAGCAATGGGCATAGTGTCCTATGGAATCGCCGTCGTCAGCCTCGCAGCCTACTCGACGTGATAACCACCAACAGCACACCAAGCATACGATAAGTCGCCACATATTCATCAGCGCCCTACATATCACCTCAAGCGAATGCAAATGGGCATGCATATCTGATATTCCCATACACACCGGAATATGTTACGGGAATAGATCAACCGAAGAGGAGAGTCATACACACGATAGTGGTATCTAGTCATGAGATACGAGACATTACTGTTTGGACATGACGGATTGATGTATGTATTGAGATAGCTTGCGAGAAGCATTATGCAGCAGTCGATAGTTGACAAAAACATTGGCATAATTGCATTCCGTGTATCTGTCGAGATTTTTGCAAAGCCATCGACAGACTTTGCATATCGCTCGACAGGGTGCAATGCTACGGTGTTGATGACCAAGGGTAGAAATGGAACAATTGAATTTGACTAGTTAGGATGTTAGAACGAACAAGGTCGTGGAAACTTGAAGAAGTTGTATTGCATTCTGACTAGACTATACCTATCATACTCCCGCCTGATAACTAATAGCGATGAAATGAGCGTTACGAAGCGATGAGCTAAAAACGACTTTTATGCCGTGAGGCGCTATGTCTTTGGTATAGTGTAAAAAGTGGAGAATGATCACAAACAATGACAAACTGACGATGTTATGTTGCTTCGGGATCTTGGGAGAGAGAGATGGCACGGAGACATGAATGAACGAGCGAGCACAAGAGGCAAGTGAAACGCGAGCATTTACATTACGTAGAAATAAAAGAATTCCCAAATCCATCTCTTCCTGATTCATCTCACACTGTTTCTCCTCTCCAAACCACCCCCATCCAACACACATCCAATCCGTGTTTCCACCGAAGAGAAATATAAACAGAGAAAGAAAAAGGTAAAAAAAAACCACAAATGCTAATGCCGAATGATAACAAGATGGAAAACGTATCACGCTGCCTCCGCGTGCACCAAAGTGCCTATGGAATCAAACGTAGAGTTCGATGCGAACTGAAAAGGGGTATCCGACATTTCCGCCGCGAAGCGCTTGGAAGTAAAGAAGTTTCTTTTTTTTCTTCCGGTCCAGAGTCTTTGATAGAATGATGAAGATGAGGAATTGACGACACAAGGTTCCCGCTAATGACACGTGAGATGAATGAATGCTGCGCTTGGAATCCGGGACGATAAATAACAGGTATGAGAGATGGCTTCGAGTATGCAAAATTTGGTGGTTCCGGTCCTCCCAGTTGGATTGTTTTTAGGGGGGGGGGGGGGGGGGGGCGGTCCTTCTCTTCAGGGTTGCTGGAGGCCGATCCGTGAGGTGACGTCTCAGATCATGGGCGTGTTGTCGGGCTGGTACACGCCGGGCTGCAGTGTTGCGGGAGGCATATTGGCACGGAGCTCCTTGGGATGCTTGTAGAAGGCTTGGTCGTCGATGGGTGAGATGACCTGCTCCATAGGCTGGGGTGGCGGTGGGGGTGGCGGCGGAATGTTGTTGAAGTAGTTGTCGTGGTTGTTACCATCGATGGAGGGAGAGCGCTGGTTGGCTCCGCGGGGGAATGAGTACTCTGGCACACTCTCGTAAGGGGCGACATCTGTGGCACGTCTAATTGGTGGTGACTTGGCGCGAGACCTGCTAGTGCTACGCATTCGCTCGGTGACTCGCTTGAAGGTCATGCCCAGGTTGTCGCTGACGCTGCCACGGCCACGGCGGTGGGACTGGGGGGAAGTGGTGCCAGAGGGACCCGTTGGCGATACATCCATTGGCTTTCCACCAGAGTGCTCGTCGATGGCGATGTTGATCATGCCGAGGTTACCAGGACCACCAAGGTTTAGCGGTGGAGGTGGTGGCGGCGGTGGAGTCGCCAGATGCTGGAGTTGAGAGAGTACAGGCGGTGTCGAGATTTCATCAACATCAATGACTACAACTTCGTTTTCATGGATAGTCTCAGCAATACTGGCCGTAATGGGTGGCGGACTGATGGCGGTTTGTAATTCATAGGGGGCAGAATTTCGGGAGAAGTGTTTTGCCTCTGATGACCACGAGCGCTGCCAACGGACGGTCGTCGACTTGGGAAGGGGTATGAAGACGTTCCCTGGTTCTGGTAGAGCTCTTGAGGAGGCGCCGAAGCCGCACGCGAAGGAGGCACTATGGGCTGGCCGAATGTTGTCGCTGGAAGCAGGGGCCCGAGATCATCCTTTGACTCTTCTTGTGTTGTTGGCTTGTACTGCAGGTTGATCGGTATGCTAGGTACTGCAGGAACGTCGTCGTGATCAGGCTCCGCGCTCATGTAGCGAGGGTGGCGCATAGCACGCGGATTGGCAGGCAGACCAATAGGCACGGATGTGGTAGACGTTGCACCAGTCATCCTGTTGGCCGGCGAGTACTTGCTAATCATCTCCGGGTCAGCTGTCTGGCTCCGCTGAATAGGGTCGCGGTACATGGTGCCTGAATTCAGCATATCGTCTGTGTTTGAGCGGCCGGAATGTGGTCGTCGAAACGCAAGCTCTCCAGGGTCCGGAATCTGAGGCGCTGAAGGTCGTCGAGCGAGAGACAATCGACGATCTGCTAGCTCTTTGGCAGCCAACTCTCTTCTGGACATTGTGGTGTTCTTCATACGCGAGGCACCAGAGCGGCCTGAAAACATCGAGTCTGGTGATGCCTCCCGCACATTTGGACGCGTGCGACTGACCTCACGTAGAGGTGGCGGCCTGCGGCTCACTGAGCGGTCTCGTGGCGCATGGCGTTCAGTGGAAGGCTCCCTACGTGTGCTGGCAGCATTTTCTCTAGGTTTGCGACTAGTGCTTCTATTGCGCGGACGCTGCAATTCTTGTCCAGCAGCTGTTTCATGCTCCTCACGGTGCATAGATTGAGGCGAAGCGGGAGAATTGTCGCCACGGTTTGCACTGCGACCGCGATCCTCCGCCGGACGACGACTCGAAGCTCGACTAGCATATCTGCTTCGGCCGCCAATAGGGCCTTCCGGAGACTCAGCACGGCGCACTGCAGCCTTGGATGAGGATCTTGTCTTGCTGACTCCGTGTCTCACACGACTACGAGTGGTCCGATCCGCTCGCGACAGATTCTGTCGCCACTGGGGATGCAACATTCATCTTGTAGAAACGTTCGTCATCGTAAGTATCGGCATCTGCGTCTGATTTTGGGGCAGCATAGATACCAGCATCCTCTGGTGACATGGGCACCGGCGAAGAGGGCGATCTCTTTGCGGGTCGAATGTAGCGAACACCAGATCGGCCACGGTTTTGAGACTCTTCCCGTGGTCGACTGCGAGCTCTTGCTGTTCGGGAAGCGGGCCTCTCTTCAAGGGGATCGGCGGTGTGACTACGTGGGTAGTTGTTGGCTTCGTCAAGGCTGCTGATATATTGATCGATACTTCGAACTTTCGCACTCTTCATGCTTATCCCGCTTGCTCCAGTGAGCGGTGGGCTCGTCTTGTGGCTTGTGCCAGTCTCTGGGGCTTGTTCGACAATAAACTCATGCATGTTCAGATGAAGGTCCTGTGGTTTACGGCTGCGAGAACCACCACGGGAATCGCTCCTCTTGAGGCTGAGGTTTTCGAACACACCAACGGCTGGGGAGGGAAAGATGATCGCTGGCCTTGACAGGAGCATAGGTTGCTGCAGATAGCACAAATTCGTTAGACTCACCCGCGCTAGTGGCACGGCGGGTGGAGAAGGGCAGTGTCTCTGCTTCACGACCAACATTATCAACGGCAGTTCTTGGGTGCGACTCGCCTCGTTGGCCACGATCAGGAATTGCCAGAGAGGCGAGGACCTCGTTGTTCGTGGTAGATCGTCCTGTGTCTGAGCGTGATGGCAGTCTCTTCCTTCTATAAGCGCCTGGTGTGGCAGTCCTCGCTGATGATGGTTCTCTGGAAGGGTCTCTGGCTGTTCTCCAGGGTTGGGCGGCGCCGGAAGGACTAAGTGCTGACTCTGCAATTGGGGTAACGCCGGCGTTCATGGGAGTACGTTCTTCGTCCTCTTGTCGGATCCGCTGGGGCTGTGGACCACGCGTGAAGTCAGTTACAAGTTTGAGCGATGCCATTCTGGCAGCTACCCTGCTACTTCCAACACTAGGAGGCGATAATGGCGGGCTGAGCTGGGAGCCTAAAAGGGCCTGTTTCTGTGCGGAAAAGACGGCGTCCTGGGCTCGGGGCGAGAACCAAGGCTCTGTGGTCTCGAGACCCATGCATGAGAAGCATCGAACGGCCAATTCCGCTTTACCATGTGAGACGGAGAACTCTCCCCACTTCCTGACAAGGAAGGATTGTCTCTTCCAGTCTGTAGGGAATAGAAGGCATGTAAGTAAGATGGCCTCCATGTAGTACTTGCGGGAAACGTAGACCTCGATGGCGTCGTTGTGTTCGCCAAGACCCAAGAAGATGGCAACCGCAGGATGAATGTCACCCTTCTCAAGTAGACGCTGGACAAAGGCTTCGCCTACTTTCTTCTGTGAACCTTGTCCCATGTTACTCAAGGCAAGCAACATCCAGTCGGTGGATGTCATGGATTCTGATCCAACCATGGATGCCATCAAGTCAGCGCCAATGTCGCCGAGCCATTTTGATAGGAGAACTGCCGCAGCAGAATCAGCATGATGGCGTGCGACTGCAAGGAGTTAGTACAGAGTTCGCAAGAATTGAGATATGAACAACATACGCTCGTCCCGAACAAGTTCATCAATGTCGTTGTCCCAGCCAAAAACGACCTTGAGCATGTTGAGACGAAGGTCATCGGGAGTCCTCTCAGGGCCAAGCTCGGTCGGTCGGAATGGCACGTCACTGAGTCTTGCTTTTGTGAATGGAAAGAGTTCCATGTTTTGCGTCTTTTTCGACTCGTCAGGACTTCGCAGAATCCTCCTTCCGAAGAGCAGAAGTTTCCGTATCTAGCAGAAGCCGCTGAAGATGCTGATCGGATAGAAACGCTTTCTCGCGAGGCTTCTGCAAATGAGGATGTACCGGAGGAGAATACTGTGCCTGAAGCAACGCTCTTGGAAGACTTTGACGAACCCCAAGAAGGTTTATCATAGCGGTAGCGAGGGGCGCGACCACTGCCACCAGATGATCTTGAGCTCTGTGAACCTCGACTTGACACGGGACTAAGCGGTCCCAGGCGGTCACGTCGCTCCTCTTCCAGCTGATCCATCTCTTGTGCAATTTTCTGCAACGGTGACATGACCACTCCCTCAGTCTCACTCTCTGAATCAGCTAGCAGTTGAGGCGCACTTTTGAGCGGGCGAGCTGTAACAGGTTCATCCAGCTCCCTCAGTCTCTTCTGTTGCTCATCCAAGGAATTTGGGGGTGACGGAGGCGTGTTTGCTGGGGCGTGTTGTACATTGGCGACCATTGTCGCGGGACCATTGTTAGGGTTCATGTCATACTGCTGGATACTGAAGTTGCTCCCGACCGTGAAAAGCGTGGCTGTAGGTCCGTAATTACAGATGGCGGCGATACTATCGGCAGTCGGCACTTGTTCGTAAGATACTCTCTTCGTACGGACATCCCATACACATGTTTGTCTAACGCTATATTAGCACGAAGGATATGCAGATATGCAGATAATGCCTACCCTTCTGTATATTGAACGATTCTGCCGTTCTTCGACCAAGCAAACCATGACGGGCCTGGCTCTCTCTGCTCTTTCTGATTAAGAACACGGATGACACATGGTACGTCCCCGCTGTGAGGAGCTTTTGGAACGCTCCAAACTCTGAGATCGCCATCAGCGGTTTGAGCCGCCAACATCTCCGACTTTTGCTTTGAAGACGACCCATGCCAAGCCAAGCCCGAGATAGGGGAAGGAGACCTTGGGGTAGTCAGGGTGTGGAGAATGGTGAAAGAGGGCTGCAATGTAGCGATCAAAATGGAACCATTGAGATATCTGTATGTGATCAGCATAGCTCGAGTGGCGGGCGTGTCTCCCAGACTTACCCAATTGCAAACGTTCTGCAGTCAGCTGCTGGTGCCAATGCTGTAATGGGATCGAAAATGGTTCTCGCGGAGAGATGTTCGGAGGTGGAAGGCTCGAATAGGATGATGTTCCCTTGGGCGTTTCCTTCCCACGTCGTTAGCGATTCAGGTGCCACTTAGCCTGCCTGAACTCACCAAAAGCAACATTGCCATTCCTCATCCACGCAGCCACACGAATCTGCTCGTATGAAGCGAATCGGGCAACCTCATCGCCCGTGAACAAGTCCCACACAATTGCAGTGGACCCTGCATCGTAGCTTACAACTAGGCGACCTCCTCCCCGCTCGCTAACGGTGTCTGCATGAATCCACGAAATGTCTTCGCGATGGCGCGTGAAGCGTCTTTCTACCGCCAAAGTATCATGATGCAGGCACAGAATCTCGTTTCTCTGGGCGACGAGCAGGAAAGAGGCTGTTGCGCTCACTGGATCAAATGCGAACTCGTCGGTGCCGGGTGTCGCGGAAGGCGTGGGTGGTTTTATCTTGATATCTGAGCGGATAGAAGAGTCTTTTGTCGAGTTCGACCGCTGTCGGGAGTGTCCCGTACTCATTGTGGGCGGTCTACGAGACAGTTGCTCGGTCAGTCGATGTTAAGTTCGCAAGCGCGCAAGAGGCGCATGTCGACAGGACTTGGTATCGATTATGGATGACGAGAGTACAATCAGGGGCTTCCAGAAGAGCGACATGAAACTAAAAAATGTCCGGAGACTCACTGCAACCTGCGCGCTACCGAGCACAGCACTTGTCGAGAGATCCACGGCGGCTCGAGAGCGGTATGTTCAGCCCCGCTTCGGCCAACAAGGATCAACTTTGGCGGTTAAACAAATATGCATGCGCAGCCTTGGGAGTGTTTCTCTGCGCGGAACACGAGCTGAAAAGACCGACAGGCAATGTAAAACAGAGAATGAGGAGGAAAGGAAGCAGCAGAAGCGCGATGGAGGTGTGCAGTGATGCGCGTGGGAGCCACGGGCCTATCAATCAACGGCGCTTAGAGGCGCAGAGGGGACTTGAATATGTGCTCAGAATAGGTCGATTAGCACGGTTGGAACCGACGAGAGAGCAAGTGGTTAAGAAAAGGCATGACCGGCACCGCGAGGCGTTGTGAATGCAGGCAGCTCATTTGCTGGACGTCGCGAAAGCTCGCGACGGTCTTGGGTGACTCGACCAACGATGCAGAATCATGCCGCATGCTGGTCGCCAAGGTGGCCGCCCCCAGTCGAATGAGAACTGTTGGTTAACTTCGCGCCGCAGAGTCAACCGTGCCTGCATGTCGTGGGCAGTTCAGCCTCTAAGAGGGCTAGGTAGCACGGGGACGAGAGTGCGAAAGACGAGGATTCGGAGGGAGCACACGAGCTGGCAGGCCTTATTGGCCCAGCCGGCGTGATGGCGGCAAGCCAAATCACACCCCCAAAGCCTATCATCACGCGCAGCAGCGGCTGGGTACGGCCCGAGACATGGACGATCCATGGCTAGTTGTGCACCATGTCCTGCGCAGTCGTCCCAATGGATGATATATCACCCTCTACTACACCTCGACCGTCTCCATCGATATCTCTTTCTTGGTGATTGCACAATGCGACTGCTGCTCTGTTGAACTTTGCCTGCATCCAATACCATTCCATCGCACAGGGGCTGGTCACGTTAGGCGTGCCTCCGCATGCAACGACGTCTTGGTGCCCAAGCTTTCGCGGGACGTTCCTCATCCCGCAGTAGGAGCGGATACGTGAGTTTGTGGCACAAGAAGATCGCGGTCCCTGGGCGATGCCTGCAGTGCCCAAGCTCTTTCTGGCGCCTCACCAACCCCAGAAGTTACAGTAGAGTACCGCGCATGACGTTGGGAACGTACCCATTGAACGGTCGACCCGACTTTTGCAATGTGTTCCAGCATGTCGCAGCCCCCGACGACGCTTTAGTCCGCTCACACATGCAGCGTCCCCAGGCCAGGAACCCGATGAGCAAGGCACAGAAATGACAGCGTGCCTGGTAGACACGAAGCACAGAGCACAACCGATCTGTTCTCCGCACATGGTTGAGCCGTCCATCTGCCCGTCCGGCTATATCAATGCTAGTCAATAATCACCAGGGACTGACGTGAACTATCAGTTCCCCCTGAAGCAGCATGAATAAACAATCTGGCAAATCTGTCGACATGTACTACAGGTTATCACCTACGACGGAAAGCGACCAGGGTACCTGAAGCTATACACAGGGCCTGGCCGTCGCAATTGAAGGTTGGCAATACTGTGCAGAACGTCGGGCTGTTAGATACCCCTGTTGTCAATGTACTTTCCGTCGTAGTTGACAACCTGCAGTACCTTAGGTAGCAACCCAACGGTATGCCAGTCTACTTGGGGCCATGCGCATGGCTTCCGAGAGGTGGATTGATCACAGTGGTTTTTGCAACCGCCGGCACTAGTTGACATAACCCTGCTTCGCTACACCGTGAATCCAGCCACCCATTTTGCGTCCCTTCGCTCTGGTTCTGTCCCCCACGAGTGTTTTCCGCAAGGGATGAAAGCACTGCGCAAATCGCGTGCTTTTCAGGCGCTGGTTGTCTTGAACTCGAAACATTCACTGTAGGATGCAACCACATGTCTGACCTACCGCGACACAGCATCTGCACCGAGCGACGGAAAGGTGCAGATGAGCTCGAGGGTGCATGCTTCAACGGGTGGAAGAGTCCCGTCTCCACTGGTAAGCTCGCTTACCAGAAGCGGGTTGCGAAGCTTATTTTTGGCGATTGCGATATCACAGGAGGGCGTTCTTGGGCAGCATTTGCGAGGTGATTTGAAGATGGATCGAGTGATGAAATGCGTTGACCTTCGTATCTCGAGATAGGGCTGGGCCGAGGCGACGTATCAGCAGCCTCGTCCCAGTGCCGGCCCTGGCCTCCAAGAATTTGCAGGACCGATTACTGCGAGCGAAATCACCAGACTAGCACGGGGACGCTGAGGATCTACCAAAAAGGAGCGCGCCTCACAGCTCGACCATGACGCCAAATGTGATACAGTGTGACGAGGCTGTCTAGTCTGGTCTTCGCAGTCACATAAGTGGACATGTTCAGAAGAAGAGATGAAGGATCGTTGTGATGAATTATTGGTAAAAGCAGAACCATGTCTGTGGTGGGGTATCATAAAGGAGAGGTGTGGTAAGCCACAACAAGCCTCTCGGGGTCGCAGTGTGCGGAAACAGCGCTGTGCATCCGATATGCGGAGCTGGGGTATAAATGCTAGTAAAATCAAAACGCCTGGAAATGCTCAAGTCCATCACACCGCTTTCAACCAATCCCGCCCGGCAACCAGGGCCCTCTCATCAAGATCCTCGCGCTTCCCGAAGCGACAAGTGTGCTGGAAGCACCACACGCTCCAGGTTCGATGAGATGATGGCTCAATCTGGACCAGCAGCAAAGTGTGCGGTCCAGATAAGCTCGGTACGCTCAACCGTGCGCGACGTGGTGGTGTCGCGAACGGCCCGCGTGGATTGACAAGCACAGTGTCTTGAAATGAGCACCCACGCGTTGGAGTGATGGCGACACACGGGTGTGGCTGAGGCTGGTCTGGGGTTACAATGGCACCGCCAGCACAGCGTCGCCTTGTTAGTGCACATGACGTGGGTGTCATGGTTGACTGTACCCAAGGCATGAATATGCCTGTGAGTCAGCCGGGAAATGGTGGGCGACTGCCAAGAGTTTGTGGCAGTCATTGCCGCTAGCTACGTGAGTGGAAACGCGACAACAACGCGCGCGCTACACAATGACGTGGGTCTCAACATGACTGGACAGATTGTTAGTTATTGCGATGCGACTGAGTATTTGAGCGGCGACTTACGTTGATATAGTAGAAGTGTCAGACAGGTGTCGTCATGATCTTCACTCGACTTGCTCAGGCGACTCTGAGATGGGAGTCATGGGCTTGGAGGTGCGACGCTGCTTCTTGCCACTGCTGCGCCTGCGCTCACTCTTGGGCTTCTTCTGCGCGTACAGTGGCGGAAGGACGGGGAATGCCTGGGCCATGGGGGGCTGACGGGGCGGTGCAGGCGCCTCGGTGAGGTAAGGACAGGCAAAGTCGTCGTCAAAGTCACCACCGAAGAGGTCCTCGTCCGAGATGAAGGACGTGGGGGCGTTGCGGTAGCCCAGCGAAGTCCCGGTGGGCCATGATGGGTACGCGCACGAAGCACCGCGACTTGAGGATGATTCGACCGAGTAGACACTGCAGAAGGATCCAGTGGGTGAAGCCATCCTGCTGGGCGAGATGCTAATGGGTATCGACTTGGAAGGCGACGAGCCGGGCGACGATTCGAAATGCATGATGTGGTGAAGAGTGGTTTGGTGTCGTAGTGTACGGGGTGGGTCTTGTTCCGTATGTATATACCGTGAGTTTGTACAAACGAGACTACGGGCGTAATCGGCGGCACAGAGTCTGCTCGGGATGTTCGAGTGGGTTTGTCGTAAACAGCAGTCTAGCGCCGGCAGGTAGTCCGAGGGCGAAAGCGGGTCGATGATGTATGACGGCGGTATGCTTGGCTGGGAAACAGGATGCGAAAACCTAAACGGGTAGTGGTGGGGGCCTCGAGGCGAGACACAGGATGCGAGGATGCGAGGATGTGAGGATGCGAGGATGTGAGGATGCGAGGATGCGAGGATGCGGATGCGATGGGGTTGTGGGAACAGCGTGCGATCTTCTGGCTCCAGTTCGGGTGGGTGCGAGGGCGGACGGGTGTTTTATAAAACCCACGGGGCGTGTGTTCGGGGGTGGTCAGGAGTGCGAGTCAGAAGCAATGTGTGCGCAGTGTCTCGAACAGGGCAATCAGATGGGCCAGACGTGGGATGCGAAGAGCGGTCACGCCTCGCATTATGAATTCCGCGAATAAATACACTTTGGGCGTTGCGGTCCGCATGAAACAATTCAGTCCAGCGCGCAATGACTGGTCTTACCGCCTGTGTGTAAAGGAGCGGTGGACGTGCATGTACCAATCGACGCGGCGTGTCAAAATGGCGGTGTCTGGCCCTTGCGCTCCTCTTCACACTCCCGTCAGCCCCGTATCTGTCTACGACTGACAACCCTGGCGCCCGGGCTCGACCGCCAATCCCATGTGCCCTGTAATCGTGTGCGGATGCGAATTGCAGTGATGACTCGTCCACTTGGCCCTCAACCACTGCGCCCTGCCTTGTTTGCTGTGCTGGACGGAAGCTGGTCGCCCGCGCAGCCTGCGTCGTCATCCTTTCAGTGCGTCCAGAGCCATACGAAAAAGCACCATCAAGCACACCAAGCACACCAACGACTGTCACTCGACGCCCCCACGACACCCAGCACGCCTCGCCCCGGGTTCCGCGACGCCTGCTCAGACAGGAGTTGCCGCATGTGGTAAGCTTGGTCTGGAGATCATTTCGGGGATCAAGGGAGCCCAACCCTGCCATCCCACGATGCGATAGAGCACATGTCGCACACAATCAGCCGGCGACGTTTGCGTTTCCCCTTGTGGAATGCCCACGCCGCAGCCCCGGACTCTTCATCCGCTACTCCGTCCTGTGCTTGGCCGCCTCCGAATGCCACTGCCTGAATTGCCCCCGGCCTCTGAAATGCTGCCGCGGATGAGGCGAGTCCTCACTATCGTCCCTCTGCACGCCCCGCGGCTTCCCTCTGTTTCTGTTTGCAGCCCCGATCTGCACAGCCCGCAAAGTGGTGCGCCATTCTGCCTGTTTCCCCAGAGCCGCCACACGCAGATCGGCCCCGAGGCGGAGGCGGATGAAACGAAACAACAAACCCTCTCCTGCCTGAAGGTCACTGCGTCTCGCGTCTCGAGCCTCGGACCATCTGCCGGCAGTGTTGCTGCTTCCGGTCTTGATCTTGAAGCAGTTTAGCCGGTCAAACTCTGGGGTACATGATTAGCCTCTGTCACATGTCTCTCCACCCATTTCAGGGTCCAACACTCTCGACTCCGATGCAAATTCTAGCCTCCGATGCTCATCACAAGCCAGCCAACGTTGACTCACGAGTACATCCAGCCAGTGAAGCAGGGTAGCCTTGCATGCAAACTATGTGGCAAAGGACATCCAACTGCCTGCGCAGCCTCTCGCCGAGGTACCCTTCGTACAACCGCGGGTCATCACGCAACCTGCCCGCCTACAAGGCAATGCGATGCGGAGCAACTTCACGGCTCCGCAAATGACTTCCAACCCCGTCCATTCTTGCGAGCCTGAGCGCGTCAATAACCCCGAAACCTTCTCCAGACTGACCTCCAAGGCTGACAGCATATCGTACATGGCATCGCAGGGCTGAGTAGATCGATAATGCCCGGGTACAATGCAGTCAGCACACCCTCCCGTGCGATTGCAACGCCGCACCCTTTCGCACATGGAATGTATCCAAAATGGGCGCCGGAATCACGCACAGTCAGCCTACGCCTATGCAATATCAGCTATTAACAGCGAGGTTATAAACGTCCATTGTTGTCTATTTCCGCGTTGCTATTGCTGCCCAGGTTTGCATCATCTCGCATCCTTGCGGCGGTCCGAGAGTGAAATCTGGGGTTGCCAACTCGTCTGTGCTCTTGCGGAATGAACGAGATCGATTTCCGTGGAACATTCTTCCTTTTCTTCCATAGGGGTACGCACAGTCGTTTGCGGTTGGTAGTGAGTCTCGTGCACCTCGTATCGAGCACATCCATAGTGACACTACTCACCAAGCACGGCGCCGTGACCTTTTTTGGTGCAACTTTGCCGCACGGAATTCCATCTCCACGCCGCTTTTCATTTTGCGGCTTGTCATTGTAGTTCCGGGCTAGTTGCTGCATGGAAGCTTCTGCGCTTGCAGCACTGCTGTCGAAATTCAAAACTTGACACTAATTTCCGAACCGGTTACGTAGCTACTGCATGCAGGCGAAACAGATTGCGGAAGCGTCCTGGAAGCTGTCAAGCACTTTGCGTTTCGTGAAACGTCCCGGCGAAACAAACAAGTTCTCGCCTCGACACCTCACTTCCTTCGAAGCAACTTTGCCGTAACCCTTTCACAAGCTTGACTTGCAACATGCACAATGACGCCACGGCGGAAGTTTCTTGCGAAGATTTATCTCTTCTGCATGAACCGTGCGGGTCTGCAAACATTGGTATCCGCTTCTGGAAAATTTGAAGCTTGTGCGAGAAATTACTTACCATCGTCGAACCATCGGCAATCTGCCGCACGCGGGTCGGACTGACACTACGCTAAGCCGTTCCACGCATTGACTGGAAGAACGCATGGCCCATGAATCGCATTTTTACAAGAAACGGTTCTTGACTGGAAAATCTTCGGCGCGGAGTGGAGATACGGCTTCCGAGAAATCTTCGTGAGCTCCCCACCAGTTGTAGTCGGTGTAAGCATGGCAACTCCCGTGTGGAGACTTTGCCAGACCCTGAGGAGTTGGAACAGATGATGACGTTGATCGTCGAGAGGGAGGTTTATTGTATGCAACTTCCAAACATGATCATCAAGACATCTGTCGAGAGCGAACAAGGTCTTCTGCTTTTCCTGTTCAGGGAACACAACCGCCTTTTACGACATCCGGGCCATGCTGCAAGACATTTCCTAAGCGATTGGTGGCATGTCGGGAGCTTACGACCGTAAGCAGAATTTCGGCTAGTATAGTGACAGATTTTGTACGAATTCATCCGTACAGAGTATTTCGTCGCTATTGTCCCGCAAGGAGAGAAATATCCGTGTCGGGGAATACACGCACCAGCAGCTGCTTGTGGCTTGCGGTTCCCCACGATACGCTGTCACGGCTGCATTGGGTGAGAAACTGAGACTGCTGTGAAACCACACCATTGACCTCCGGTCTTCGGTGGCCACGTCTAACTTCAGGCTGCGACGGAGCTGACACCTGTCATCTCACACACAACTCCGGTCACCAACTTGTTTGAAAGTTAATGGGCAACCAACCCCGCGCTGAGATGAGACCAAAGTGTCCCAGGCAACCGAATCAGGCCTTCCGAAGCCCATGAAGATGGCGACATTCACACTACGTCTCGGACCGGTCTAACCTGGACCTATCCAGATACCAGTGACGGTTTGAGTAACAATCTCAACCTTCCTATCTCGGTCCGGATGTCGACTCATCAAAATATGGCGGTGTAGAGCGGTGTGCGCCCGCAGCGTTCGTTCATACACGCCCTCATCGCCAAAGCAAGCCAGGTGCGGAACGCCCGCCCGCTGTGCGACACGCAGGGCTGTCGATCACCGAACTTGGAGTCTGGTCCATCAATATTGCCGTATATGTGCATTTGTAGTATGTGTTTACGGTATGAGTTGTCATGAGTGCCGCACACCGGGGAAGTACAGCGAGGAGTCATCACCTCGTACCTATGCACCAAGGTAGCCTTGTTATGCCTTGATAAGCCTTGTCGATACCATAGGCAAACAGGTTTCGTAAGAAGATTTAATGAAATCGATGACCGTGACAACAGCGGACATCAAAAACAAACAGAGTGGTCATCGGCTTTTGATAGGGAATCAGATGCCTACCACGAGCGGGGCAAAAGGTCGAGACCAGAGTCACAAGCAAGTATCAGTGGGTGAAAAGCGACGATCTCTGGCTCGAACACTGCTCAATCATCTGCTTGGAGGCACACATGTGCGTTCGCTTCGCTACGAGAGGCTTATCGCGCGTATCGCATTAATCCGTCAGCCTCGTGTGGCGTGGGTGGAGGGTGCACGGAAAATGTGGGCGCCTCGACGTGGGGACGACTGGTTGACCTCCAACCGAACCCCACGTCTGGGAGGTTTGAAACTCCGCCTACTCCACGAACCTCCACACGGAACAGTGGAGATGACATGCAGACCCTGCATCTGAGCAAACGCGATTTCTCCCGATACTGGATATCACATCATCAAGGCAGCAAGCGAGGGCCGAGGATGCGGCCAAGTGGAGGTGTCGCCCAAAGCGAGGTATAGACATGTGGCTGGTGAAGACGTAGCACGTGTGCTTGATGTCACGAAGCAGAACACGCCAGATGGTCCTGGAATCACTTGGGTACTACAAGATGAATCAGGTGAAGCAACGAAGATGCATTTTAACTACTGCTATTTTCATCGATTGATTCATCTTTTGGTACTTAATGCATGAAAGGTGTTTGACCTCCCGTTGCCAATAGGTTCGTTGCGTGTACCACCTGCATAGATCAGATGTCAGGTCAAATTGTCCGATGGCACCGGACAGAAGCAAAGTGACCGTCAACCACCCTACACCACCGAGGCGAATTTTCCGTTAAGTGACCCGAAGCAGAACAATGCTCATTAGCAGTGCGACCGGGGCCTTCGCATCCGTGTCGAGGTCATGTAGCGCAAGCTTTCGGTAGCCATGCGACGCGTATACCTTGGTACTATGGTACTATGGCCTACGATAGCGCTCATGTCACGCAGGTAGCATTGTTCTCGAGGATCAGCGTCACTCCACGATATCGCCGATTATAGACTTATGCCATTCGTAGTGGTAGACTGTGCTCAGTGGATGCCTCATGGCTTGTCCCCGATGACCAGTAGAAATCCCAGTTGTACTTTATTACTTCGTTACCCCAGGATGTCCACCCGGAAACAAGGTACCGGGAGAAAACCTCCAGTGCGCTGTAGTCCGTTGGGTCCGGCATGTACAGCTCTAACAGTTTCTTCAGACAAGGTTTCCGAGAGTGCATATCTGGTACAGCAGCAATGACTCTACGCTTAATAGTCGGCGCATGCGTCATGGTCGTCCATGAGTTGGGTGCGGCTCTGCCAAGGAGGAGGATCTCATAAGGCTTCCTCAACACCGTGTCAATGTCGAACATGGGTTCACCCTTTGTGGTCGTCTTGATCCAAATCCACTCCTCAATGAGTCCTACATTCCACGTTTCGAAGAGCCCACCGGGTCCTAACACGTGTTCTCTCAATGCCTCCTTGTTTGTGATCCAGACACCGACTAGAGCATTGTGTTCCAGGTAGTTGTCAAGGTCCATCCTCAGCAGCATCCTTTTGAGGTACGGCATACCGCCAACCTGCTCGTATGCGCCCTTGCGCTTCGCTGAGCGGTTGGGCCACGGCGGGTCCAATAATACGAGATCAAAGTGTCGTGGAAGGGTGTACTCGTCCGTGAGCTCACGAAACGAAGCACGAAAGGCATCCGAGTGTGTGGAATCGCTCAGGAAGAAAGTGGAGCGAGGTGGGATTGTGAAACGGTACTCTGGGCCCAGCTGAGTATCGTGCACACCGTGTTCAGTAATGGACATGTCCAAGGAAAAGACTTCTGGATTGTGGAAGCTCGATGTCCATGGCTCTTTCGGCTCATCCCGAGCGACCGTTTCAGCGACCTGCGCACCAGACATGGCCTCACGTGCAGGCCGGTACGACGTTACCCAGCCTTGTGTGACTTGTTTTCCCGCGGTCGCATCGTGTTCGCATGTTGCACCGAGGGACGCCATCATCTTCTGTATGTCAAACGCAGCGTCATCTCCCTTGCTTTCTTTACATGCAGCCCACTGTCTCAAGCGGGACTCAAGCTGCTTCTCTGGATCATCAATCTCCATGGCTTCCTGCGACTTCGCATGCAGCAGTATACGTGGTTCACACCACTGTCGTGAAACATGCGTGCGGATATGGCCGAGTGCTTGCTCGATCAAGGACTTGTACTCGGCATGTTGCGCTCCATCGGCGTGTTCGTGCGCTGTGTTTGCTTTCGCTTTCTGGGATTTGGGCTGATAGTCTTCCTTGGGCTCGATGGGTGCTTTCAGCGGTGCGGTTGACAGAAGCGTAGCTGAGCGATCTTGGGCAACGGCGATTGAGGTAGGAATGTCCACAAGCGTGATGTCGCGATCTGTGTTCTGATAAAGTATTGACGAACGTGGAGCACCTCGCGAAGCCATGACTGCTGAAAAGTACTCTCCTGCGATTGCTGGAAATATATCAGTCTTCACAACGAGATGTTCTGGCAGCGTCTACGAGCATCCACCCATTTGCGACGGACTGTCATGCAAGGCTTGGGGTACTGTGAGTTGCGGCAGCTGGTCAAGCACTCTAGATGACAGGCGACTCCCTAGGATAACAACCGCCTCGTCTCGCTCAGCTGAAGCTGGATCTGAGAGTGGAGGTGAATGTCGCCAAAAGGAAACTGATAGAACTTGTCACTCGACTACGTTGTCCAGGATTGCTAGACTGTAACGTAGTTCTCGGGTCTGCGTGTTTGACATTACGAGATGCAGCCTCCGCCGATCGTACTGCGGTATGTAGAGTCTTCAAGATGATATTTGAAGCATCTCTTCGATGTTCATCGACTGCGGTGGCACGCTTTTCCGACTGTTTGATGGAAACTTGTCCGGCTTGCGTCGGTCCGGCGATCAGCCTCGGCAGTTACTGATGACGTTAGAGCCACCACCACTCAATCCCACCCGCTTTCTAATCCGCATACCAGACTTGACGCCATAGCAACAATCACGCACACGCACAGATTCGTCGCGCAGGAACAGAATCCATGTCACGATAACAGACGAGCCCACATCGAATGCCCACAGACGTCCTGCGCCATGAAGCTATCGGCCTCCCGTCGAATATCATGAGCACAAGCGCAACGCAAGCGCAAACAAATGCGAGAAATGGCCTAGACGGACACGCGCCGCCGTCTGCAGGCAATGACGCGGCACACATGGCAGGGCAGGACGCGAGGTCGAAAAAGGTGGACAAGCAGAGCCCGGAGTATCTCATGAAGAGCATGCTCGCGGGCGGCATCGCGGGCTGTGCTGTACGTACCCCATGTCCACGTCTACACAATTTGGTATAAAGAGAATGCTGACATGGCGGGCAGGCCAAGACTGTAGTTGGGCCCCTTGATCGCGTCAAAATCCTCTTCCAAACCCGCAATCCGCAGTTTGCGAAATACACTGGCTCCTGGTCTGGATTCCCGACCGCCATGTACGACATCTATACGTCCACGGGCATACGCGGGCTCTTCAAGGGCCACTCGGCAACGCTGCTACGCATCTTTCCCTACGCCGGTATCAAGTTCCTCGCATACGAACAAATCCGCGCCCGCGTGATCAAGAACAAAGGCGAGGAGACTGTTGGCCGCCGATTTCTGAGCGGGAGTCTGGCAGGCATGGTCAGTGTCTTCTGCACATATCCACTAGAGGTGATAAGAGTACGACTAGCCTTTGAAACACAAGCAGAGGCACGCAGTAGTTTCGCAAGTATAGTGCGCAAGATATATGCCGAGACGCCACCGCCGACATCACATAACCCGTCAAACCCGGTTACGGCAACGGCAACGCATGTCGTGGAGAGAGTCACGCCAAGGTCCGGGCTGAGCAATTTTTTCCGAGGATTCACGCCGACGCTGTTGGGCATGGTGCCATATGCGGGCGCCTCCTTTCTGGCACACGACACAGTGTCGGATATGTTAAGGAAACCGGCACTGGCGCCGTGGACTACGCTTCCTGGAACCGCACGGGAGGAATCGACAACACAATCACACAAGCCTGCACAGTTACGATACTGGGCGGAACTCAGCAGCGGTGGTGTTGCGGGCTTGGTCTCGCAGACTGTCTCATACCCACTGGAAGTGATAAGGAGGCGGATGCAAGTCGGGGGTGTGGTTGGTGACGGACATCGCTTGGGCATAGCCGAAGTCGCAAAGAGGATATACCTCGAGAGAGGCTGGAGGGGATTCTTCGTGGGCTTATCGATTGGATACGTCAAGGTCATTCCATTGGCTGCAACGAGTTTTTACGCATACGAGAGAGGCAAGTACTATCTCGGCATCTAGATGGCTGCATTGTCCTCATGGCGTTGGGAGCAATGGCGTGTAGAGAGGCAAGAGGAGGCGGGTTTTATGAGCTCTCTATGAGAAGCTTGTATATAGTGATATCCACATCAGCAAATCCACGATCAAACATTTCGAAACAAGCCGTCAGCGAGCTCTCACGGATCGCCAATGCAAATCTATTTCATGGTCTGCACCAACTCTCGATAAATCTTCTTCATCGCCAATGCAAATCTACTTCATGGTCTGCACCAACTCTCGATAAATCTTCTTCAAATCCGCCACATCACCCTCCAACTCCTCCACCTTTTCCGTCTTCTCTCCCAGCATCTCCAAGGTAGTTTCATATCTCTGCTCCATGGCCTTGAGATCACTCTCCAGTGTTTCCACTTTCTGGTCCAGTTTTCTCTTGTCCTCGGCCTCACGCATCAACGCCACAACCTCTTCTCTAGCTTCGTCACGTTGTGCACTCAAACGAGCTAGTTCCTCTTTGGATGTAGCTTTCTCCGACTCAAGACGTCGGACGGCTGCACTCATTCGCTCCACGAGCTGGACAGAAGGACCTGCACCTGCAGTAGAAACTGAAATCATGTCGTTGATAGTACGCTGTGGCGATGATACATTCTCAAAAGGCTCATCGTAGTCGACTGTGTGGATTGAAGGTGCGTCTGGCGGCAACGCACCGTTTAGGTTGGTCAGGCTTGCAACCGAGCCCTGTCTTTGAGGTGTTCCGATCTCTGGTGTCCGGGCTTTGGGCGTAGAACGCTGGCGCGAAGAGGTCGGTCGACGGGCTGCATCGTCAAACATGCGGTCCATTGGCGTCAGAGGCATAGACGTATCCATGCCTGACGAGATGGACCGCGGGACCGACTTGCGATTGTAGATACCCAACGGATCCGGTGAATGTCTTCGGCGTGATTCCGATGGCGAGTCTGCGCGAAGATGGTTCCCGTTGTTGAGAAACCCGGGTGAAAGCATCTCCTGCTTCCATTTGTTCTTTTCCTCTTCTATCTTCTGTTGGAATTCAGCGTCCCATATCCTCTTCTCGCGTTCAAGATCCGCACGTGCGTCTTGTGCAGATGTTTCGGCTTGAGTCAACCGGGCCTGTAACTTTTGTGCGACCGCACGCTGTTCAGTCAGGTCATGCTCGAATGCTCGGGCCCGCTCATTGATACTCTCAAGTTCATCTTCTAATCTGCGGGCCTTTGAGTTGACGTCCCGAGCCTTCCTTCGCACATCTGCTTCTCGTTTGGCTGTCTCGTCGCGATCCTTCTCCAGAGCGGCAACGCGAGATGTGAGGGTAGTCTCGATGCCCTGCCAGTTCTCAGAAGCAAGTGAGTACTGGGTCTGTAGGGTTTCGATCTGGCGGAGAAGCTTTGCTTGCGAGTCTCCCGTTGCGGACGATGTAGCTTCCTCTGTACGGCTACGGAGGAGCTCAAGCTTCGACTCGAGGTTCTGGTCGCTGTGTTAGTATATTGACTTTTGTGAAAGGAATACCGAAACCCACTGCTATTTCTCCACGCAGCTCCAATTCGGCCACCTTTGATTTCTCTTGCTGGTTCTTGGCCTCTTCCTTAGCGGCTTGCAGCTCTCGCTTTGCACGCTCTTCTGCTAGCTTCTTCTCTATGCGGAGATTTTCCATGTCCTCCCTCAACGATGCGGTAGCTCGTTTTTCTGCCTCGAGTGCGCCGGCTTGCACCCTCTTTTCAGCACTCTCGGCGCGCGACAGGGCATCACTGAGTTGGTTCCGTAGCTCGTTGATGGTCATGCCGGCTTCCTCGCGTTCTGCACGTATCAAGTCGATGTCCTTTTCAATCTTGCCCACGATCTTCAGCTTGTCCTGGGCAGCCCTCTCAGCAGCCTCGGCACGTTTTGCGCGCTCGGATTGTTCGGTGATGCTCTTTTCCGCCTTGGCTAGCCTCTGCTTCAACGTTGCGATGTCCTTGTTGTGCTCGAGCGACTTTGCGCGCAGGGCCTTGACTGTGGTCAAATGCTTCATCTCCGTCTTTGACAATCTCTGGCCTTCTTCCATGAGGGCTGCGATTTGCACATCCTTCTCAGCCAGCTTCTTGTCCGCTGGGGTCGTGTCCGAGTGTGAGGCGGTGGCTTTGGCCGAGGCTGCTACCTGCTGAGCGAGGTATGCGAGCTTCGACTGCAGGGCGTCTATGCGTTCGAGGTGGGCATTGAGCTCATCGCGGTGGCCACGGACCGTCTCCTCATGGGCCTCTTGGAGGGCGGACAGCTCGGTCAGCAGTATGTCCGGGTCTCTTGTGCTGGGTTCTGGGGCTGGGGCTGGGTCTGGGTCTGGGGGCTGAACAGCAGCCGGGGCAGCGGCATCGATCGAGGGTCGTGAGATGGTGCTGTCGAGCGATTGGCGGGGAGAAGCTTGAGGTGGGGTCACGATTGTGTGGATGGGCGGTTTCGAGGGCATGGCCATGCTCGGGACGGGTGTGGATGCTGGCTGCTCGACGACCAAAGCTGGTGACGGTATGGGCGGTGACTCGGACTGGCTCTCGTCAACCTGGGCCGCTTCGTCCTCTGCAGCCTTCGCGTGGGTGTCGGCTGGAGCATCTTCAACACGTGCAGGTGGCAGCGCTGGGCTTTGTGGGCGGGAGCCCAGGTCGGACGAGGCGCGCGAGTCTGGGCGGTCGGCGCCCTTGTTCACGGCCTTTGCCAGTCTGTCTTGGAGGCGCGAGTTCGGTCTGCTGCGTGACGAGTTGCGCGATACTGCTGCCGTTAGCTTCCATCAAGCTCCAGTACACGGCACATGCACCGCTGTGCGTCGGACAACCCACCTGGCTCGACCGCCAGCTTCTTGTCGGCAGCCGCCTTCTCGGGAGCATCGGCGTGGGCTTGGGCGTGGGCTTGGGCGTGGCCATGGGCGTCTTCGGCCAGAATGCCGTCGAGTTTGGACTCGAGGCCGGAGATGGCGCTGTTCCACCAGCCCTTGCCGCTCATCGTGTCGACGTGGTCGTGGTCGTGGTAGCGGCGTCGACGCTGGGGATGTCTGAGGGTATCACCGGGCAGCTGTTCTCCGCTTGGGACCTGTCATGACTGCCCGTGCTAAGAGGCCAGTTGTGAACTTTGAGCGTTGTCGTACGCCGAGGCTTTGCGGGGACCAGCCCTGGAGATTGGTGAGACGTGGGACCTGACTACTTTGTTGGATCGCCGCGTGTTGCCACGATGTCTTCTTCACTTGGGATTCAGCTCCTCGGGGGCCGTTTGGAGCTTTCTGGGCCACAGCACGCGTCCTGCAATTGCTGTCGTGGCCTTGGACGGCCTGACCTGCCAGCCGCGCAATGCCAAAAGCACCGCGCCCGGACCCTTGCCCGCATACCCCAGCGCTGACCCGACATGGCGCCATTCCACACTTGTGCATGCATCGCCTACCCATTCACTTTGAATTGTCTCTCTAACATTCTGAAAAGGTAGTCGTAGACTCCGAACTCCAAACCACAAACCAACATGCACTATCAAACCGCTCCTGTCTGCCACTACTACTCTATGTGACGTAGCTCATCTCGCACTACACTCCTACCTCGTTGACCCATGTGATTCATCTCTGCTTCTCTTGACAATCTCCTTGATTCACCTGCCTATTTTTACCAATTGTGCCAGCCCTCTATGCAATCACTCAAGATGCCTGTAGCAGTGAGTCCCCCGGTCTGCCAATAACATCATGCACACATTGAAGATCCCCAGGCAATCGGCCAAATGCGCTCAACAGCGTCCATGAGCCACAACCTCAACCAATGCCAGACTTTGGTCCAGAAAGCCTCCAAGGCTGGCGCAGTGGCACTATTCCTCCCCGAGGCATGTGACTACATCGGCTCCAAAGACCTTTGCAAGTCAGTTGAGACATCCGAATTCGTCATTGGTCTCCGCGAAGAAGCCAGACAGCACAACATTGCAGTCAATGTCGGAATCCACGAGCCCGCCAACCGAGGAAAAGTAAAAAACACCCTCATCTGGATCAACGAGCAAGGAGAAATCGCCCACCGCTACCAGAAGCTGCACTTGTTCGATGTAGACATTGAAAATGGCCCCAGTCTCAAGGAGAGCGACAACGTGGAGCGTGGTAAAGAATTACTGCCGCCGTTTGACACCGCCCTTGGAAAAGTGGGCAGTCTGATTTGCTTCGATATGAGGTTTCCAGAGCCTGCGCTTGCCCTGCGCGCGAGGGGTGCCCAGATCCTCACCTACCCGTCTGCATTCACCACACCGACTGGAAAAGCCGGACATTGGGAGATTTTGCTGCGTGCAAGAGCAATTGAAACGCAGAGTTATGTCATCGCAGCAGGACAGGTTGGTATGCATGACGACGAGGGCAAGAGGCGGAGTTATGGCAGCAGCATGATTATTGATCCGTGGGGGAAGATAGTTGCCCAGCTTGGTAAAGATGAGGGCGAAAATGGAAAGTGGGAGGATGAGGTGAGCATTGCAACAGCCGAGATCGATCTGGATTACGTAGATAAAATCAGAAGGGAGGTGCCGTTGATGAGGAGGACAGACGTTTATCCCGAGATTAAGTAGTAACAGAGCTTGTTTCGCGAAGACCATACGAATGGTTTGATATATTGGTTTGTTCTGTAAGGCACGGGCCGAAAACCGGGCACCAAGGTATTAGGAGAAACTAGTATACAGTCGTATCTGTGTCGTGTGACCGACCAATAACATAGGAAATCGTCATCTCGTCTCGCCGTTGCATGACCGCCATATTCACAGCCACCTACTCAAAATCCACATCCAATCCCTGAATCACATTCGCCTTCCCATCAAGACTCAAGAATGCCAAGTCATGCTCGGTGGCGTCTGTCTTCTCCTCTATTCTCGACCTGACTTCTGCGAGTGAGCACTTCTCCAACTCTGCCATCCTCTCCAGCATTCCCGTGAACAAACTCCTCCCTTTGTCCTCTCTTTGCGGTCCTTGCGTTCTCGGTGGCTCGAATTCGCCCTTGCCTACACCCCAACATGGCCACTCCCAATCATGCGTTCCGTGCTCATGATAGAAGTTCAACAATGTGATCTCGCCCTGTGGATCCGAGGGATTGACGAGCATGTCATATAGAAAAACTGGCCCAACGGACAGAGTGGCTTCAGCGAAACAGAACTCGAGTTCGTTGCGCAGAGACAGTTGATTCGCGTCCATGAAGCGGCCATAGGTACGTTGGTGGATCCACCCGTGGCCGTGGTAGCGTGCAGTTAGAGTAGCGTGATGAAGGGCGAGGTACAAGGCTATCAAAGGCGAGCGGGGAAGTGATGTGAGGAAACTAAGCTTGGAGGTATGGGAGCCTGGGGTACACAGTGAGTTTTGTGGAGCAGGAGAGGGCCAAATTTGAGTCGACATGAATGTGAAGGAGCTGAAAAGATGGAAATGAATGAGACTTACGAATCGAAGCGAGGCGATAGAGCAACAGTAACCCAGCATTAACCGCCGCGACATTATGAGGCTCTACTGCAACGCAGTTCTCCCGCCATGTCAACTCGTCCATTACTGCGTCAACTACATCATATCTTGATACGCAGTCGGCGAGCCATTTGAGTCCAAACTTCTCGCCATATGGGAAGTCGACTAATGCATGCCGCAGCTCTTTCTTCATGAACCAGGAGGTGATGGAGTGCTCGTACGTCTTGACAAGATCCTTGATACCGGGAATCAAACGTAAGCTCGCAATTCTCTTCCCGTCTTCGAATGGTAGATGTTGTATGGTTTTAAGGACAAGCTCAGGTGGGATGCGTCTGGACACTAGGAATTGAAAAGCCGGCGAGGCATCTGGGACGGCCATGTTGATGAATGTCGGAAATGTATGTACGACGAGGAATATGAACGTGCCGAGAAGCAAAGGTGCAAGATTCGCGGAGAGGAGTTCTGTTGGGGTCTATATAATTGGGGTAGGAGCAGCAGCGCGTAAGCAGGTTCCTATTATGTTAGACAGTGAAAACGGACTAAGCCTTGACCCTTGGGTACTCTGTGAATGGGATATATGCCCTCATGTGAAGACCGTGATGGATGACTTCGGCCAATGGGGGTACCATGATGTCCGAATAAAGTCGACATGCAGCACGCAACTGCTATGACAGCTTTCGAGGTTTGAAGTCACACGTCAACCCCACCAGGTGCATGTTTGCTGAGCAATGGACGGCATTGGCTGGCGTGAAGTGGAAGCCCAGACCATGCGTTCGCATGCGCGTGTCAAAGCGCAAAAGGTCTGAGGCATCGCAAGCGCGGCATACACGACACACAATCAATCGAGCCACAGTGAAGAGCGCGTGGGGTCAGGCATGGCTCATGCAAGTCATGGTGACAAGGCAAATGGCGACATAAGCGGGGGCTCTGCAGATCGACATGGCGGCTGGCAGGAAAGAGCTCATGGTCAGATGCATGGATGTGAGGACCACGCGCTAGTGCCTCGCCTATACATAAATTCTATAAAGTCCAGTATGCTGCCAGTAACGCCGTGGCCGGGTATAATGTGAAGACGTTGCCATGCAGTCGCTGTGCCCTATTCTAGGTCGATGCCTTCTCTCTCTGCTGCTTGCACAATGAATTTGCGCGTTTTCGCATCTGGGGCCAAATCAAGCGGCACATGTTCGTCGTTGTCTTTCTTGTCGAAGTCGGCTCCGTTAGTCAACAGCAGCAGCGCAGCGTCGCCGTGGCCTTCGCTCATCGCGTGATGCAGAGCCGTCATGCCGTCCATATCTGTCGCATTCAACGGGCTTTTGGCATCAAGCAGAGCCTTGATCATGGGCACGTTGCCTGCAGCTGCTGCACGGTGCAGTGGAAGTTGTCCCCTCTTGTCCTTGATCCGTGCACTCGCAGGGGGTTTCTGGCTAAGAAGTGTGCGCGCGATGTCGAGATTTGACTTGGACGCGCAAAAGTGCAGTGCAGTCTGGCCGTTGTTGTTCTTGGCATTGACGTCGGCGTCTTTGCTCAATAGCAGATCCACAATGGCTTCGGCGTCCTTTCGCGAGCATGCCATCATCAACGGCGTCCACCCTGAGCCATCCGCCGGGTCAGCGTCGAAATTCTTGGCCTGCACCAGGTGCTGGACGATGGACAGGTGGTTAAAGGACACAGCCCAGTGGAGAGGTAGGCGGTCGTCTGGGTCGCGCAGAGAGGCTAGCTTAGGGTTCGCCGCGAGGAGGGACTCAACCCTGGAAGCTGAGGTAGCGCGTCAGTTTGTCGTCATGCTGAGTATACGGAGACCACATCGTACTTTGGCCCTCGCGACAGGCTTCATGTATCGCATACTTTGCCTTGTACTCGTCCATTGTGGCAGCACGACGATTGCAGTGAAGGGTCAATGTTGTGGCGCAAGAGCTGCACGCGTAAAGCTACATAGCCCCACCTCGAACATGACCTCATCGCTCCAACATTGTCGACAACAGCACGAATCTTTCCATCACCACCAATCACAGCGGGGAGCTGCAAGCGTTGATTGAATTGCAACAAACGTCTCCACTTGACTACTCAAGATACAGGCACATATGCCGACTCCTCTACGGCTTTCCGGTCGTAATCCCATGTCCGCATTCCCAACTAGAGGCATTCTTGTGGTCGCCGCCAATGTATGCATTGTACAACGGGTATCTACAGGATCAGGGTTAGTCTTCAGCCTGATAAAGGGTCATTGTGACTTATGCACCTGCAATGGCGACGTTTGAAGTCCACGCCCAACGCCACCGAGTCGTTTACGAACTTGGTGCCTTGCATGTGCTCAGGCGCAACGCTCTGCTCCACCCAGTCGACCATTGCCTTCAGAACATTGTTTTCCGCTTGAAACGGTATACCAGCTGCAGCAGCGTTTCCACCTTGGCCGAGGACCCATGCCCCGGGGCCAGTGCTACAATGATTCATGCCAGAGATTTGGAAGTAGCGTACCCACTTATCCATGTCTGTATACGATCGCTGACCCTTGAGGTGTTTGTAGAAGCGATCGCTATTGAACGATGTTATCTGATTGTCTTGTCGGCCATGAAAGATAAGCAGCTTGCCTCCGCGTCTCTCAAACCTCGAGAGCAAGGATGGGAAGGTGCGAATGTCGCCCGGGTTCAGCCTTTCTGCTACAGCAGCGTCCTCGAAGTTAAAGCGTGATGCATTCCATGATGGATCGTTATATACGACGTATTTGAACCAATCCTAGACAGATTTTGTATTTCAGCGTGGGTTTTGTAATGGATGTGATTGGTATGGCGTACCTCAGAGGGTTTCCATGCTGTGCCGGCATATAGACCATCCGCGGCGTTGACCTCGCTTCCAGGCTGCATAGCTGGAAAAATGGTGTGCCCGTTGGGATACTTATAATCGCTGTAAATCTGTCTCAGTCGCAGAACCTGCGGTTGTGTCAAGCAATTATTCGTAGAGTTGCCTGCACACAGCAATCTCGATGGGTCAAAGTCACAAAGGCCCGGATTCTCGATAATGCCATCTTCCACGCCATCGATCATGTCACACTGCTTCAAAACTTCATCGTGAATCCATGTTTTCCAGGCATTGCTCGTAACAGAGTCGCGTGAGCCGATCGCGCCAGTAAGCGGGAAAAAGTGCGCCCTCCATGAGTAGAGGTTGTTGAAATCGACACCTGGTGCTCCTGCAACAATTCCGTCAAAGTCGCTCGGAAACTTCTCTGCGTTTCCAATCCCCTGTCGACCACCGAGCGAGCAGCCGAGATAGTAAGATTTTGAGTGTGGTGTCCCGTATAAAGCTTTAGTGAGTTGTTTGCCAACGTCTGCGCTTGTGTGTAGGCTAGGCGATAGTCAGTGCCAACTGCCAAAGGAGTAGTGCATTGCTTACGATCTCCATGCAAAATCAATGACGGTGTCGGGATGATTGTAAAAGGGCAATCCGCCTGTTCCATTGTGACCATTGTTTGCACCGACAGCAGCGAAACCCTGAGAGGAAGTATATGCAAGGTCCTCATACTTGATGCCTGATAATCCCATGTGTCAGGTATATGAATACTTGTTGGAGAGGTAGCTTGGAACGACGGTCACTCACATCCATCAATACCACCATTCCCGGTTGCAAGGAAGCGACCATTCCAATGTTTTGGCAACCAGGCTTCGAAAACAATACTTGACTGCATGGACGTCTTGATCGTCAATGCAACGCGGCAAATGTTTGCAGAAGTAACTTGGGCTTTCCGGTTGCATGTTATATCATTGTCTTCTAACATCAAAGTCGTGTTCGAAGAGACAAATTGGAGGATATTGAGCGTTGTGCCGGGAATAATTCTTTCCGGTTGGAGATCGTGGCATCTTTGCTCAAAACCGTGCAAACACGTTGCGCCAGGCTGAATCATAGAGATTAGCAGATACAACAAAATTTTGGCCATCATGCTCCACGAGTATGCATTTTCTGACCACTCGAGGATACAACATACGATATGTGCGCCTGTGAGCTCTTGTTTCCTAGCTACTGCGTCTGCGCGCCCGATCTGAGGAGTGTGGCACGTGGGCTACCGGTTAGTCTAGTCCACGGGTTACCTAGATCGAGCAGGTCATGTACACAAGTGCGGGGTTTCAGACAACACTTCTTCACCTCTTTACCTTGCCGCTAAATACATCCGTATTACTAATTAGCCAATGCCTAAAATCTGTTCCGAGGCTGCACGTTGTCGTCTGCCCCACAAACGCTGCATTTCGTGCTCTATGTGATCTCTCCCTGATAGCCTGAGTACGACTCAATCAACTGAGAAAGCTCCTGGTGGGAGCTTGTGAAGTGGAGACTGTTTCTTACGTGGGCGAGTGTAAAGGTACCCGTCTCACGGAGGAGGTTGTCTGTGCATGTCCCCACTGATGATCCCCAGATCTAAGATGGAGACAATGATTGGTCCGAAGAAAGTTTCCAAAGGCCCTGGCCGAACTTTGACGGAAATATAATAATGTTGATGGCCGGATTCTACCCTTGTCGTAGTTGCCATAGCTCGGATGCTTCTTACTTGTGGATCTAGTTCCTGCACATGTATTCCGTCTTGGTTGTACGGTGCCTGAGATATTACTTCAAACCCTTGGGGATACTGATCTTGGCTAAAGATCTTGAAAACTGGCCCGGAACTCAGGTAGTGGCAGAGTACCGCTAATGAGACTGTTATCTGATTGAGCCGAACGTAAAATTTCGTGACGAGGACCATCGGATAGTCCGCCCAGATATGGCGGTTTGGGCGCAGAAACATGCGGTCAGTCTCATCCCGAATCGTCTCCGGATGCGTGTGTCTGAGATCGAAAGAAGCATGTAAAGGTACATGGATGCCTTGGAATCGCGACGCCAGGGCAGCGCTAATTGCTGGCTGAGTTTCGAGGAGGATACAAGTCTCGCTAGACTCCTGCTTGCGAGGTTCAAGCTCAAGATTTTCGAAGCTCACTAACGCGCACCCTTCTCGGCAAAATAGGTGAGAACCTATGTTGCGCAGACAGATGCCTCCGACGCCACTTCTGCCGGTACCTAGGCAAACTAAATATACTCTCACGAGGGAGCCATACGCGTCATCTATTATGACTGTCCGTATTGCAATGTCACTTGAGAGTAAGAGACCTTTGTCGGTAATGGAAAATTGTGCAAAATCCCCTGTGTAGCGCTTAATATCATTGCATGTGGCAAGGCCGGCTGGCGATGTCGAAAGAGGACCCAGAATCTCCCCCACCCTCAACCCTCCCCAGATGGCATTTCGCAGGCAAGGATGGTGAGATCGTTGCAGCGTTTGATTCTCTCTTCTTGCAATCTTCTGCACGCTTTCAAGCGTTTAACGTAGATCAAGGGTATGTTCACATCGAAGATACCAAGAAGCGAATATTTCCTATCTTCCTGGCGTTTTGCTTCTCAATTGGCAGCCCAGGACAACCTGGTAGCCACTGAAATCGAAGCCAAAGTACGATTGGCAAGTACGTCTTCCGAAATATTGGTAATGGCTGACAGTAGAGGGATCAAGGTCTCCTTGGAGCCAATGTAAGTCCATCTACGGTCATAGAACCTGATCTCATCCTGCACCAGAAGTTCTTGTAACGTCCATCTCCCAGTGACCCAGAGACAGCGCGGAAGTGCTGCAGCGAGTATAGCAGTCGAATCTAGATCTTGTAGGATCACGTAGCATACTGGAGCGTTCTCACACCATTGAAACATGGAATTGATAGACTCATTGAGTTCGGCACTGCTAGACTCGTCGATACAACATCAATTACCGTTGCCGAGTTGTCGGAGGCTATGCATCCACACGTATAATCGTGTTTCAGCATGCTGTCTTTGAATCAAATCCTTCCATGGAAGTCTCAAAGGCCACGGATCTGTGTACAAACCGTTTTTCACTTCAGCGTCATGTACCCGAAAGTGACAGTATCTCTCTTGTGACTGGACTGATTTCAACGTGTGCTTTTGCGACATAAGCTCTGCTAGTGTTTGTATAAAGCACAGTGGCATCATCGAACGGCCAAATTCTAGGCTAGCGCATTGCAAACCGATTAACAATCATACATACCAGCTAGATGGTACTGCATTAAAAAGGACTTTCGCTCGTAATTTTACTGATTGCTGCTTGATATAGACCATTCGAGATATCAGGGCTGCCTCTCACTTTCCGTCTGGTCAATTATAGGATCGAATTGCAATTGCGAGATCCGTTGCGCCTGACCGCGCGTTCTGTTGCTGGAGAGAATGCCTCCGACCAACCCCATCCCTATCAGCACGTTTCACGTTGCAGTAATGTCGCGATTTACAGTGATCTCGTACAGATGTAAGTACACCTTATCGCATAGATCATTTCGGAAATGATGTGATTTTTCAAGCAGTGCTTACACAAAACGAGATCATTCTAACACCATTTTCTGAGCACATTCTTCACTTTCTCAATCAGACCCGCACTGCATTAGTCGGTGGACTTGCAGAATCTTACTTGATAAGCAAGTTCCCAGTATCCTTCGGAATGAAAATATGAAGAGAGATATGCGCAAACAGTGCCTCCGGAACTACATAGACCACACGAAAAACTCACCACAGCGAAATACCACCCTCTTTGTTGTCTGTATCGCTGTCTGTACCAGTCTGTTATATGTCAGAAGAAGTAGCAGCATTATCCGAGCCATAGTTTTCATACTCAATATCTCTACTGAATGCTTCTGCAAGCTCTCGTAAACCATCTGCCGTGGTTGAGATATCATGGAGGCCTGGCAGAGCCAGGACCGACGCAGATATGCCAGTTAGAGAATCTGCACGATAACTTTTCGGCCCTGCTTTTTCGAAAATTTGACGCAGAGCGTCTTCGCGGATGTCTTGGACCATCGGATTGAGAATGGCCGTAAAGCCTAGTCTGCTTTCTGGATTCTGTCTCCTCAAAGGCCCCAGATGACTGCCAATTTAGGTGAATATTATGGTGAGAACGGGTTCGACGTATCCATCTGAGTGACGGCGGAAATAGAGCAGGAAGCAGAAGCTGGCAGACTTGCTGCAAGCAACGTATTTATCGTTGCCCTCGAACTCTCCACCATTTAGGTCAAAATGGAGAATTATATGCACTTCAGCATGGACTCTCGTTCTGTTTTTCGCGTCGCAATAATCTCTTCTGAACCTTTCGGAGATTTTCAATGCTTCGTCCATCTGCGCAACAGCTTGTGGATACATCTCAAGATTGGGATCAAGATGATCAGGCATCATCTGTCCCAACGCTGCATTCACCGTGGTACAGATACCACGTGGCGGCCGAACGTTACCCTTAACAGGAATATTTGCAGCTTATACACTATAGAACTCTAGATATAGTATTGCTAATTAACGCATAAATATAGAATGCTAATTCTTATAAGTAAACCTTATTAAAGAGTATAGATTTATATTGACTAAAGTATCTAATCTATCTTTCTAGGCTGCGATAGAGCTATCTAGATTATATGCTTATATTAGTATACTATTTTTAAATGCTTATAAAGTAAGTAACTTATAAATTATTATATCTGCATAAGCTAGAACTTTTGCTAGCTAGTTAAGATCTAATAATAAGAATATTATATAAGTCGCTATTCCTGCACGTGCAAACCTCACACTGATTTTAAGTACGCCTGTGCCTTAGTCTGATTGGTCTTTCGAGGCGATCAGTAATCTTACGAGACTCTCAGAGTGAGCAGCATCGAAATGCACAACATCAAGGGTGGCAGACGTGTGCAGTTCGTGGCAGAGCTGAGATCTTCACCGATAGGCATGTAAATTCTGCGCTAGTCATCATCATGTAGATGCACGCCGACCGTCTTACTTCGCCAACTTGGGCAGCCAGGTCGATTATACCTAGGTCAAAATTTCATGATTTGAACGACATGATGCAATACGTGCGCAACCTCACCTGTGAATTTAACACAAAGACGCACATGTGGTATTTTTTTCAGCAACTATTTGAGGCAAGCTTATCGCAACTTTGGGCCGATCAGGAAGTCTTTACGAGCTTACACGCGTGTAATGGGAAAGATGCAAGACCTTGGACTGTCTATCCAACCCATCTGGCTGCCTAACGCAATAATAACTTTGAGGTAGTATAAGTACTTTTCGTGTTTTCAGCGGTGGTATGTTCGCAACGATGTCGTCAACCATGTCTCTGTGTTCTTCAACCCGTGCGCGCACCTCCGAAATCGACAACCTACGTACATTCCTCACCACACTCGTTGTCTTTCACCATGCTGCGCTTGCATACGGCGGCACTGGGTCATTTGGGTATCGGTCGCCTTATCATTCACCAGGGTCTTCCATCGCATTAACGGCTTTTAACGTCTTGAACCAAACTTTCTTCATGGCGCTGGTTCTTTCTTCTCTCAGGCTACTTTAGCTCTATCGCTGCAAGGAAGCGAAACAGATTGACTTTTGTCTTAGAAAAGCTGAAGCGCCTAGGTGTGCCGACGCTGATATACAGTCTCTTCGGAAAAGGCATCATAAGAGCGATTGTGGCGTATCGGGTCAATGGTACTGGATGGGATGGTGTCAAGAAAGAGATTCTAGCTGGTGTGAAGGGTACAAGAGGAGCAGGAGGGCCGACTTGGTTTACAGCACTACTGCTGGTCTTTGATGTGCTATACACGATTGGCATGCCGAAGCACTGCGTTTCGGTTCCAGTGAAAGAACAACAACCGCTCATAGCACGTGCACAGGATACACAAGCTACCCCAAAACACCAATATGGGCCGATACGAGCTTCCCACGTTTTTCTCGGTCTGAGTCTGGCAGGCATGTCTTCGTTCCTGGTCAGGCTACGCTACCCATTTGGCCACATTTTCGTCCCATTGAGTTTGAACCTCGGGTATCTGCCACAATATATTTTGTATTACTGCACTGGGATCTACATTCAGCGGCGCGGCATACCGCTTAGTAAGCCAGCTAAGTCACGCGCCATTACTGCTGTAGGATTCATTGCGCTCGGTCTGTCCGTCCTCGGCATCATCCAAAGCAACGGTCTCATCAATCAAGGTGGCAAACTCGCCGAAATGGTCAAGTTCGCAGGTGGTGGACCCAACATATTCGCCTTCCTCTACGCTTTCCAGAATGAATACATTGGCTTCCTGTTCATTTCGCTGCTGCTTCACATCTTCCATCGTTACTCCTTCTTCACGACTCAGTGGACCATGTTTGGCATCGACATTGCGAGCGCTAGCTATGCGACGTTTCTGGTCCATATACCAGTGCTCGTGGAGACAATGACAGAATTTGATGAGGATGCTTGGAGGGGTTGGAGTCCGGTGGTTAAGGCGGTTGTTGTGAGTGGGGTGGCGGTAGTGAAGAGTTGGCTGCTTGGTTTGGGGATGAAGTGGGTGCTCGAGAGGGCAGGGTGGAAGGGGTATTTGTGAAAGACGACAACGAAGAACGAGGGAATATCACAGCACAAGGAGCCTCGTTGTCTGCTAATTCCAGACCGATAGAGTTGTGCAAAGTGATACTGGCGCAATGGGGGATTTACAAACATATACCTGTCATTATGCCGAGGAAATCTTTCTGCGTCGAAGTCATGGAGCAAGGTTGACACAAGGCTGAGATAACGCCACACTGCATAGTTGCCTTGGGCAGGGCAACAAGGAAAAGGCGTTGCGTTGGCAGTGCAGCTTACCTATCGTTTGCATCGAGGATCTTGAACGCATCGGCAGTATGTATATCGCGTTCAATTCAATCTTGGTTAGAAATTAATCCAACCGTCCTCACTCGCATCATCAAGCTCTAGATTCTACACTATTATCTTCACATCTTCTCGAGGTCGTAGCTACGACACAATGGGTATTCTTGTAAATGCAACTTGCAATGTCCTCTTCTGTCATAAGCCAAGGCACTATGACGGCAGGTACTGCCACAGACGTACGTGAAGATTCTACAAAGCGCACATCCCTGTGGCTGACATGTGCTATAGATATATGCAACATCCAAGCATGGCTAGCTAAGCGATCAGCCGGTTCAGCAGCTTGCGTGACACGTTCATCTTCCCCTAAGGCCTGTGTTCTGACCAAAAGCTAATATTAGCTGTAGATGTCTGCGCATATGGCTCGTGCATATGCACTCGGACACGGAGACGTTATTGCTCTGAACGTAAGGACCTCGTCGGCATTTTTTGGCAAACAACACGATATCTGATATGAGAATTAGATCAACGAGAGCTCGCGCCTGCGGCTGAGTCAGAGACGCAGAACGCTAATCAACAAGCACCAGCATGGTCTGTTAATGGCATATCAGTGACTTTTACGCATGGGCATCCGAGTACGGTTCCAGGTGATGAACATTGCAGGTCAAGCTGAGATTTGAATGGCGGTAAGTTGATCTAGAATGCAATACAGCCGAAATGCCTCATTTTGAACAATGCATCACATCTGAGTTTGGATTAAGTATTATGCCAACTCTACAGCTATCTAGATAATAATAGGACATGTCTTCTCATACACGGCAACAGTGTCGAAGTCAAAGTTCCCAGCAGCTGCGTCTAATGGTCAGTTATACAAGTAGCACAACCTTTCTCCGCCGAATGCGAAGACAACAAATTCGCATTGCGGAAAGTTTATGCATAGAGTCTAGCAGTCAGCGAGTGTGTTGGCAGCCTCAATGGCGTGAATTGCATCGTCTTGGTTAAGCAGAAAGCCTCGGGTACCGCAAACTCGTTGGCGAGGTGGCAGGGTGGGCGAGGGGGTAGGTGAGGAAGATGGCGTCGGCGTGGAGCTATGAAGAGGCGTGGGAGTAGGCTTGGTGTCGAGCTTGGTGTTGAGCTAGTTGAAGACGACGTGGAAGTAAGTAGCTCAGTAGAGCATTGAGCTTTCGAGTCAGTTGACGAGGCGATGGTTGTAGAGGCGGACGTCAAAGATGCGGTACTTAAGCTGACGCTAGGAGTAGACGTAGCGCTTGGACTGACTAAGGATGACGCTACTACAGATGATACTGCCGTGAATAAAACTACTAAAGAGGTGATAAACGCCTAGTTTTTTCTCTTATAGACAGAGAAGTAACCAATATAGTATAAAGTATAGTAGATACTAGTCTCTTTAATCTAGCTATAAATGTTTTCTATAAGATCTTTAGCTTTAAAAGAACATTTATATGCTCTTTACTATACTATATATCTTGCTAGATTAAAACTCTAATAACTATCAATTCTAGCAGCAGTAACCTCTACTTTTATAGATCATTGTCTTCTAGGCAACATTCCTAATGCAGGACGTATCAACCTAGAAGTAGCTGAGGCCGTCTTTTGCAGCTTGAACACCGCAAAATGCGAGTTTGTTATACTCCGCTTCATGATGGCCAGCGTCATTTGTTATATCTTAGAATATGACTTCCTCATGATTACGTCGGTAGGTATGCGACAGAATGGCGTAGGTCTTGACCAGTAAACTCAACAAGGCTGGAACGGCCATCGCCATCAATTCGCAGCAGCCGCATGAGAAGCAGTAGAGAATAGGCCAACAAGCTTATCGGAAGATAACGTGCTCCAACTGAGTGTATAAAGAACACAAGTGCTGGGACTTTGGTAACATTGGTAGTATTTGAGAGGGAAGACGAGCGTGGTAGGAGAGCCTGGAAAGGCTAATAAGCACGTGGTCACGTGCGCAAGAATTTTTTCCAAGGTTGCTTGTTATCGACGCGACACCTAGGTGTGCATCCAATTGCGCGCCACAGCGAGTACAGTGAATTACATATTTCTGAACATTTCGCGATCAATCAATGAGGCCAGTCCAAGGGCATTAAAGCTCCGACTTGTTCCACGGCTCCTCTGGTACACCCATTTGTCGCCTCTGGTAGTTCAGAAAGTGGTGGATAAAGGGTAGTCGTATGCTGATGATACCCACGACGCTGGCTATTATCATGAGTAGGACACCCAACCCGACACCAAGCATGACGGCATCTCCTTGTCGGCTGACTTTCCGGATCCAGGCTTTCGTGTCTTCAATAGCGAAATTCTGGTCAAGTGCACGCCGAGCACTCAGCATGCCTGGCAAGCCATCAAGTGACTGGTGGTTCGATCTCTTTTGGTAATCCATGAGCTCTTGTTTCTCGAGCATCTTTCGAGCCCATTTCTCCATGGTCTCGCGCGGCTTCCATCCATCGTTGGCCGCTGTGTCTTCATCGTGCTCGACCATGGTTACTGCATCTCCTGTGGCTTCGATTGGAGTTGCGGCTGTCGTGCCCATGATTGGCACCCCGAATCCACAGCTCGTCTGCACCTTCTGAATCTTCAGCACGATGATGGCCCTAGCACCAATCATGTCGATATCATCGCCGTTCTCGGTTGCCATCTTAGCTCTCAGCTCCTGGTAGTGATGGTCGAACTTCTCAACAACTCGACCCTTACAGAACAGCCTCATTATTTGTGGTGAGGGCCCAAAGGAGCAAAACATGAGGGTGACACGACCGTTCTCGTAGACGTGCGAAATGGTTTCACAGCCACTGCCTGTCGCGTCGAGGTAAGCGACGGTATTGGGCCCGAGCACGCAAAATGTGCGAGACAGATGGCCTTTAGGGGAGACATTGATGTGGTCCCCTGCCCAAGGAGCACTTGCGACGAAGAAGAGAGGCTGAGCGGTGATGAACTCGACATGGTGCTCGTTGAGAGAGGGATAGTACTTGACCATGTTGGGCGTTGAAAGACGAGAGTAGTGAGGTTGGTTGATAATTTCGTGTATTGGCGGCGGATTGTCGAAGCTCTGAGCGGATTTGGGATTATTGGATTCTCAGCTAACTCAGTCTGGTCAAGACTGCTTGGAATTGGGGTTTCAGCAAGGGCTCATTAGCTTGCAGCGTGCAAGCGTGCAATTGCGTCTTGACACTCCTGTCGGCTCCCTACTGCAAAGACGGTAGTATTCCGCGCTAACGTTAGCCCTGCTTACCTAAAACAAAAATTATAGAGACGGTAGCACTTGGATGTCGATTGCAGCAGAATCGCGAGCTGACGGTACCACGGCTATCGCACGCACCCACCGCCGAACCTCCAATCGACTCCTGCCGTTGCAAATCTGCGTCGCATCGCTCTTTCCCCCACGACACGGCCCTTCGCCGTCCCTCGGCCGTCCGCACAGCATGCCCCGGCAGAAATGTTAGCACTCTGGTCCCGGGTAGCGCAGAGCCCGGGCACCTGTAGATGCATATCGTGTGTCTCGAATGTGCGTCTTGTCGTCAGACGCCGTGGCCTGCGTGGCCTCTGGGCATTGCGCACGCCGACTTCGACTTTTTGGTACACGGCCGTCTTCGCCGCCGGTCTCAGCATCGATGCGAAAGTGAAGGCCGACAGGAACAAACAGTGGGAAGAGGCTTTTGCCCAGCTACGCGATGCTATGCACCATCCACCCGAGCCGAACAACACCCCAGGACGGACCGCCTCAGAACCTGCCAGCGCAACCCACAACGCATCCGTCTCTGGCAGCCTTTTCGAAGAGGCCGATTGGCAGGACGCCCTCAACGTCGCCGGCATGGAGCTTGGGGATGATAGCGCTATGCTTGAGCACCACGTTTCCCATTTGAGAACCTCTCCTCACATTTGGGACGATCTCCGCTTCGATTCACGACTGCCAGGAGCCCAAGTCCTGGATTGGCCTGCGAACACTGGCGCGCCTTTAAATCCCTATCATCTGCCACCACAGTCGCTATGGGCACCCGACGTGCTGCGATGGTCTGCCTTGCGCCAGCGCCAGAGCCGCAAAAAGCTGGCCCTGCAGGAACTAAGCACTGGCTTCCTGATCTTCAAACTGATCCGTGATGTCGGTTTCAAAGACTCGCACAAGGTCAACGTTTCCTTGAATCAACTGGCGCCTGCCATTCGTCAAATCATGGCGTCCACTGATACTGCAGCCGAAACTGCTCGTACAGCCTTTATGATGGACATGGAGCGGTTGCATATGGCTCACGTCAGTAGTTCTCCTGAACACTTCGACAGCGCGAGGCTGCATGTTGAATCGTCCTGGGTTCCACACTATTACCAAGATCCCGATGGCGACTTCTATGATATCTGCAAGCAGATGAACGATGGTATCACCCAGCTACTCAATGCAAGCGTGAAGGGGAACCGTGGAGAAAAGCCGCTACTTGTTGCCAAGATTTGCCACAACCTGCTTATTTCGACCGCAGCCCCTGACCTTCACACCTTCAACATACTCATAGCTGGGTTCTCGTTATGGCGACGCACTCTACTGGTCGATAACGTGATCGCTGCATTCTATGCATCGAAAGTTCGGCCCAATGAATTGCTCTGCACTCAGATTCTGCACCACTACACCAACACGGCACGCCCAGACCATTTCGCTCGCTTTGTATCCATGATGCGTGGGGTCGATGGCGATGCCCTTACGCTGGCAAACCCACTTGTAAAAATCAACGAGGCGAGCCAGGGACGGTTGGTGAGGCTCAGTCCAGAAAAAGTCCTACAAAAAGTTCATCCTACACCAATGGTTTACGCGGCACTCATCAGCGGCGTGTTGAAATTTGCGGGATTCGACAGAGCTTTGGATGTCTACTATGAGATGAAGGCTGATGGGTGGGGTCTTGCTGTTCCGGGACTTACCAAGCTCCTTTTTGACTGCATACGTCGTGCGGATTGGGAAGGCGGCACCTATGTCTGGGAGGAGATCAACAGCATCAAGACCAAAGTGAAGCCGAGCTATGTGGCAAGAGCTTATCACCACATGCTTAGTCTGTGTTCCGTCACTGGCAATACGGTAGCATTCAACCAGGTTTTGAACGAGGTTGCGAAGAGAGGGTTTGATCAGAAATCCATAATCAATGCTGCCATGGAGACAACACGATGGGCGCAGCGCCCTGCTCCCCATGCACCAGCGTGGGCAGCAGACAACGTCATGATCGCAGTTTCGGGCTACATGAATGAGAGCGGAACAGTCGCAAGTGAAGTTGATGGTCTGTCCCATGAAGATCCAGAGTTTAGCGATAGCTCTTTCGGACAGCCGACACATGATGATGACGCTGTGGCTCCCACTGGGATCATGAATACTACACCATCAAAGGAGTTCGACTCAACCAATACAGAAGAAGCTTGGTCCTCGTGGATCGAGCACGAGCTTGGGCAAAGGCCAAAAGACCCAAAGCTTTGAAGGGGGTTGATGAATCGCATGATTGGAACGCTGGAGCTGTACGAATTGTATAATATTGCACATAATTCGCATTTGATTGGTTTTACATGGCGTTGAAATGGCTTTCATCTGCATTCAAACAGCTCGACAGTGATGAGAGACATGACAAAGGCACAAGTGTGGTGTGCGGGTATAGACCAGATACACATGTGCCCTCTTTCACGCGTACCCAGAAGGAACTAGACCGATGATGGGCTAGGACCAATTGCAACGTTGTGGCTGCCTCCCGAGTGCATGTCACCCGACAGTGGGAGTGCCAAGGGCCCGTCATTCACATCGATCTATTTAGATTAGTCAAACTGCACCTTAATATACCATCTCGCTTCCACTCTGGATCACTTCCCTGCTCTTCAGTCAACTCAACATGATGTGTTTGTGCGCAAAGAAAGTAATAACTGTGCCTTTGGCGGGAAGATCGATATCTATTTATGCTTCTGCTACCACTTCGTCTGATGTGTATGAATCGCTAGATACATTGGCGTTCTCAATGACTGTTATGTTACTTTTAGCTTTTGGCCGTACATACAGGTAGTATGTCTCCGTGTTTTCATCCATATTTTCCTCTATCTGCTGCCGGCGAATGTATGCCCTGCATTGACATCGCCATAATTCTCCGACAAGCATTGGAGCTTCTGCGACCATGTAATATAGGTAGAACTATGGGTCGGCGCATGCCGCTATAATTGGAAATAGCTGCAGACGGCACTATCGAGTTGTTGTTGGCGTTGGTACGAAGACAGGGATCTCCCAGCTCTCATTTGGCAGCTTGACTTAGCTTGCTTGTTGCCCTTAGCTTCTCTGCAGTGAGTCCAGAACTTTGCGAGGAAAGACCAGCTTGGAACCTACGTAGGCCCTCATGCGCCAATGGTGCGTGTCCACCAAAGTTTGTACTCTCCAAGAATGAGGTCTAGAACATTCACTTCAGCCTTTTACTAGAACACGCTCTGCAGAGCTTCTAGTCCGTCCAAAATTATTTCATCACCGCAGAGCACACGGCAGATGAGCAAGTGCAGGATCTTCCGGTTGTGGTGAAGGAACTTTCTTGTCAGCTACATCCCTCACTGGGCGAACTCGAGAGCCATGGACTTCAAAGACCTGAGGCTTGGTTGAGATTTATCATACGAGAGCCCAACTGCACACGAGCGAATGAATTGCGGGCACGCACATTGCAGTGTGGAGTGGTCGCGCTACAACATGAGTCAGGGATCAAGCGTCGACATTAGAGTGCCGCAGGGGACGATCACGCCAGAGAGTGCTTGCAGAGTCATAGGAGCTGAACCGTAGCATACTGATGATGCGATAGTGGCTATTGTTTGCGAAGGAACTAACGATCAGCAAACTGGGAGAGATACGGAGATGGAGCGAGATGTGGATGTAGTGTCGAGAAGCTGCATGAACCGAGCCATATGCGTGAAGCAAGATCAAAGGTCAGACAGTCCCATCGCAAACTTTTGGGTTTCCGTAGGAACGCTCGGTTTTCCAGGGAGCAAGCAATGGGAAGCACAAATTTGCTGGAGTAAGATTCGAGCAAGTGAACATGATCTAGCGCAGCGATGGATGACCCTTTCCAACCATACTGCATCTACTAATCGCTCGATAGCAACAGCTCGTCAAGCCGCTTGCTACCCAATATATGTCTCTGCTCATGGCTGGCTAGTACCTCCTAGACTATACTCAATTTGGACTGGTGATGCTTTACCCATATTACACGCCCGTATCGTTGGCCTCGACTGCCAGAAACCTACCTGCTGGCACGGATGTGGCAAATGTTAGCGATGCAACTTTGTGGGTATATGAAGCAGGTCTGTTCTTGCCTGTTATCCCCTTTCAAGTTTCTTCAGCCTGTCATATTAGCCCTCACATAAGTCGACCCTGATCTACTACAGCAAACCTGTCCCCTCTTCCTTCATCTAGCAGAACCGAATTCCGGCCTTATCATTGGAATCAAACATGCAGTACAAACTTACCTCCGTACTAGCTGCAGGCGCCTTGGTCGCAGTCAGTAACGGTGCGCCTATCGTATGTTGGCCTAGCTGTCGTTTCGATGAGGCCCTCCTCTTAACCAAACTGCAGGCACAAGAACTCGGTCTCGGCGCACCATCTGGTCCTACTGTAGGCAATCCAACTAGCGATACGACTTGGGGCAAGCGTGACGTCGTCTGGGACCCTGCACCGCCAGCAACAGGAGATAAGTTCGACCTTGGGAAGCCATCAACAGGTATCATTTGGGGCAAGCGCGATGACGAGGCCTCGAAGCCAAAGGACATCTTTACTATCGGCAAGCCAACCACAGTCGTGGATTGGAACAAGCGTGCTGAGCCTGCGGACGTTAAGGAAATCGGCGATGCTTCGACGGTTGTTACGTGGTCGTAAAGTATGATGCGCGAAGGGGCTATATTCCGGTGACAGTGTGTGCTCGAGAGCGTTTTTGTATCATCAACATTCGTATTAGTTTCAGCGAACAGAGGGACGGGTGTTGTATGGCTACACTCTGTATACTCTGTGGGCATAACAGAAAATGCGAAATGTGTGGGCTGGCTTTCTGTTTGACGATGTCCAACATTTGTGAAATCTGGATCCCGTCACGTAAGGTCTATACCTCCAAGTAGGACAATGTGCTGGTGGTATCCGGAAGCTACGCTCTTCGAATCTCCCAGGTCACGCCTGTAATGCTGACCTCCTCTCCAGCCTTCTCGTCGTAGTCGAACCATTCGTCTTCGGCAAGGTCAATGCTGGCGAATTTGGTGCCTGTGTCTGTTCCTGTCGCCAGAAACTCTCCCTAAGAAAAAAGTGTCATTATAATGTTCGCGCCCTCTCTACACAGGGTATACCAACCTCGGCCTTGAACTCTGTGAATTCCAGCCCCCTGCAGTCAAACTCGAGTATGTTGACCGTCTTCGGTGGGTCCGTCCGTTCGTAGGTCTTGGGTGGCGCCTTGATGTTGGCTGAGTGTTCTCTCTGGTGGGTCGTCAGGCGATGTTGAGAAACTGTCGGCATGGGCAGAGAGACCTTACAGTTCTTGCACTTCCAGACAAAGTTGGCTTCGCCTTTGCTGCCGCTGATGTCGTTCTGCTCAAAGCGACTTATCGAGACAAAGTTGGGGTGTGTCTCGCGACACGACGTGCATTGCACCTTGAAAGTGTAGAAGAAAGGTGCATCTTCAGTGTCTAGTGGGCGGAGGTCTGTCACACTGGCTGGGGTTAGTTGGGCAAGGCATGGCATGTACGGGTAGAGTGAGGTCCACGTACCCGTTGAGCTCAGCTTTGAGAGCTAGTGCGAGGACCATGATGAATGTCAGACCACGTGTCGGTGATTGTTGTTCCAGCTAAGTCCGTCTAGCAGAAGGCGCTCAGCTCTGCAGCTCTGCAGCTTGCCCAGGTCAGTGTCCCGCCCCCGCAGACAGGGCAGCTGGCGCTAGAGCTGCCTTCAGGCCCGCCCGCTCACCGCCCGCCGGAGCTTTGGGAAACTTTTCGCCGACCCGACTTTCTCGCTGCTGCACTACAAACACCAGCTGCGCAGCCGCGACTACGACCAGACCAGTCCACTGCACACGCTTCCTCCGACTGCGCAGAAACATACACAGTCGCAAATATGGCTGTAAGAGTTTCCTCGGTCTTCAACGCGTCTGCGCAATGCTAACAAGCTCCAGGCAGTTGCACCGTTCAATCCTCGCCCGCTGCTCCAGAGCCTGTACGTTACATTGTTACCATACTGGCATACTAGCATGCTGGCTTCAAGTCTACACCGGTGCAGCGCTGACTACTACGTGATAGCGTCGACAAGGACATCGTCGTGCGGTTAAAGTGGGGCGAAACTGAGTACAAGGGCAGACTGGTGTCTGTCGATCTCTATATGAATATCCAGCTCTCGAACACGGAAGAATTCGTCAACGGAGTTAGCTCAGGCCTCTTGGGCCAGGTACTCATTCGGTGCAACAACGTTTTATGGATCGGCAAAGCAGACGAGGTCGATCCCAAAGCAACCAAAGACACGGACATGAGCGGTTGAGGCGCGCCAACACAACCAAGGTCGACTGCGCCCACACGAGCGCGCTAAGCTACGGACATCGCGGAGTGGAGGTTTGCGCACGGAAATCGCGCATGGGCAAGTTCCAGTGGCAAGATTGGAACCTGGCGGCATGGGACTTTAGGTCACCTATACGCATTGGCAGCATGTCACCAAGGCTGAGGTCGCGGATTTATATTTGGCCCAAGACCCTGTAGCTTGAGAATACGACAGTAAGGCTACTCAAGTTCCTCCACGATCAACTTTCTTCGCTCGTCCCTCTCTGTACCCAGACCTGGCTGCACAGTCAACCCTCTTAAAGGTCCCTCGAGGTTGAGATTACCTCCGAGTCCCAATCCTTGATCCCTGACTTGATATAGCTTCTTCATGCGCCACGTCTCCAGTCCTTCCAATACGCTAGCTGCGTGGTCCCGCACCAGGGAGTCCGCGTCTTCTTCCCTGACCCATTCCAGCACTCTCTCTACTTCGCTCTGCTGCGTCATGTCAAATCCAATTTCAGCTTCCTGATCAGCTTCGAGTTTGCCGTCAAGGCCCCGTAATAGCCCCATAACAACCATGATCGCAGCACGTCGCAGGATGGCCTTTGTCTCCGAAGTCTCCATTGTGATAATCAACAGCACCATCTGTAGTGCTGCATCAGCTGTAGCCTGGCGCAAGAACGTGATACGGTGTTCGAGAATAGTTGATAGCACGCTCAGGGCCGAAGCACGGATCCGCACATCTTCTTCGATCCCGGTATCCTCCCATCCCTTTACAATTTTAATCAACGCATCTCGGTCTGCCTGGTCTTCGGAATTTTCGCCCTCGGGATCAAGCAAGTTCGGTATCGGTCCGCCCCATGCTGCCTCCGCCTCCGTTTGCGTTTCGTTCTCTGCTTGTGCGATTTGCGTACGAGTCTGCAGCGTTTGCGTGCGCTTACCGCGACGGCTTGATAGAGATAAGCACGCTTCGCATATTTGCTTTATACATCTATAGCGCATGAACGTATCGTCTGGTGAATCGAAAAATGTGTCGTCCAAAACAAAGTTGCTCAGTACTTCGCCAATGCGCAAACGGTAGTCGAGTGCCTCTTGAGTTTCCCTCTCTTTCTCCTCTGTTTGTTTCCCCCGGCGGAGTTCCAATGACTTTTCGTCGATGTCAACGAATGCATCAACTACAATGCCGACTACGGGATTGGGCGCGCGGACCGCAAGGTCGACGAGTACAGGCATAGCAGAAATGTGGACATAGGACTCTGGGTCCGCGACGGAGGCGGAAAGAAGAAAGTGAGCCATTGAAGGAATATCTACAACCGGAAACGCGACAGGGTCCCCGATGAGCTTACGGAGCGTATTCAATGCCCAAGTACGATTCGGAGGCTCAGGCGAATTGATGTCAGTCAGGACGGCCCTTAATGTCGCGCGGTGGCTGCCAAGTGGATCGTCATCTTCGGTCTGTAGGGCAATAGAAGATGGCTGTACAAGCTGAAGTAGCTGATTTGCAGCATTTATGATGTGTGGCGACATCGAACGTTCAGCTTGATGTTGTGATACGTATACGAGCGGTGTGATGATTGATGCTAGTATCGATTGTGTCTGTGGTGTCTGCGCGAAGCCGGCTGACCCAATGAGCGTGCTCAGGATGCTCATTGCAAAAGCAACGAGCTCTTCTTCCATAGTATCGTCGCCGGAAATCTTCTTGCCGCGATCATCTTTCATAGTCGTTTTTATCAGGTTTTGCATATTGGCTCGGCTCACTTTACCCTGTTTCGCAAGTGTTCGCACCTTAGTCTGGTGCTCAACCATGAAGTTGGTCAGCACTTGACCCATGAGCTCCATGATGTGCTGGGGACTGCGAGCAAGTTGATCTCTAAACCTTTTTCCCATAGCCTCAGATAACTTTGCATCAGCCAGGGCAGCAAAAGGATCAGTGTCGAGATCGTCCGTCAAGGATGTTGCAGGAAGTTGTGGTGGAGGAGTCAGCCACCGCTTCGTAGCCTGCAGGAAGATCGACCCAACAGTGGCATCGGGCATCTTTGCATCTGCAATTAGATCAACAAGGACACCAATCCTTCCATCAAGGCCACCAAGGCGCATGAGGATGCTATCCATCTCAGTAGTGCCATGGTTGTTGTCACTTCGCAGGCGGATCTCAATGCCTCCGTTAGAGCCAGGTTCGTACGTCCAATTTGTGTCTCCATCCCAAAAGATGTTTGTAGCAATCTTGTCGATGTAGACCGCGTCGCAGGATATGGCCATAAATCGGAGAAGAATACTTCTTGACAACATACTCCATTTCTTGTCCAGCGCAGATCTTTCATTGGCATGATTCAACAATGTCCACACATTCAACAAAAGAGGGCCGACCAGCCTCTTCAAGAGACCGGCATGGGAACAGGCTAGCGCAATGGTGGACAACCTTTTCAATGCTATCTCAAGATCATGTTCTTGCACAAGTACACGTCCATGGTGCGTCTTCTTTAGCGGGTCGTGTTTGGATGATCCAGGTGATATTTCTGCAAGGATAGGCTGAGCAAACAGCTGCCACCCGACACTATCTGGAGCACCGGTTGCCCTTTTGCTCAAGATACCTTCTGCGATTATTTGGCCAGCGGCTCGGCTCATGTCTGCACCTTCATCGCCGTCCAACAATGCCCAGAACTGAGATACAAGCTGGCGTAGCCACTCATCTTGTTCAATACCACTGGGTGGCAAGACAAGCAATCGTGATGCCTGTCTAACGGCTTCTATTGGGATAGGAATTTGCGACATGGAACCGGATGCGTCTTGTGGTATCCGGGAGTTCTTCGACAAATATGAAAGAGAAAGAAACTCAATCGTATGGCGAATGCCTCGCCGGCGCAGTGGAACCAGCGCCAATTCTCTGGACAATGCCGGTTTCGCCCAGATCGGAAGAGGTTGCTGGAGAAAGGTCGTCAGGATAGGAAGAAGACGCGAGGTCGGTGTTCTCTCAATGACCTTCTGATAGATATCACCGAAATCAAGATGATGTTTGCGAAGTGAAGGAGAGAACGCCAGTTCCACGATTGCAGAAATAATGTCAGGTAGGATCCTTTGGCTGAGGAGTGGTTGTACGCCAAGTCCTTCCTGTTCTAATATTGGCAGGAGCCCCCAGATGGCCTTAGAGAGCTGGTTCACATCTTTCTCATGCGCGACAGCGCAAGTAGCTGCCAGGACCGATCGCGGACGTTGGCTGAACGATACACCAGGTGATAGATGAGGCAAGACGCCAAACAGTATGATGACATCTAGCAGACCGTAGACTATCCCGGCAAGAGATGCATCGTACGGAGCATCTGGGTCCGCCGCTAGGTCAGCGGCGTTGATGGCGTGGAGATGCGAAAGCGCTTGCGGTACAAGGGTTTTGGCCTCGAATGTGTTTCCGGCCTCGAGCTTGTGTCCTTTTCGGTCTATCAACGGCCCAACAAAGTCTGCAGCCGCGTCGATGGCATCTTCGACCGCTCCCATTTCGCTATGCGGATTCCAATATCCGTCATCAGGCACGTGGCATGGCTTTAGTGGACTTCAGAATCCCGTGGGAAGAACTTTGAAACCCTTCCACGTGCATGTGATCACGCGACAAATAAGCGGCTTGGCACTGGTGTACATTCTAGCGTGTCAGACACGCGTCACTGGCACTCTAGCAACTACCAAAACAACGCATTCGCACAGCGCCGTATCTCAACAACAGTCTCGCATCTACACCACTCGTTATGGACTGGATCAGTATTTCGCGCTCCTCCTTCTCAAACTCTGACAATGGCGACAGCAACGGGACGTCCGCGCAACACACTCCTTGTACAACGATCATTCTCTCCCATACAGCAAAGCACTTTCCCTACAGTTACCGAAGTCTGTCTTCCGTCTGGAATGCGGGTTCTCCCGCGCCTCATGTACCTGCACGTTTGACACACACCCGAGCCTCTTGGTATGGTCTCAACGGGTCGTTCGCATGTCGATTCGTGCGCCCGGATGGAAACATCAGGGTAGTGCATGAGGGGGACAGACTCGGATCTTAACCCTAATCATCTTTTGGTATTCACGGTGCTCTGCGCACAGTGGAGAGTTCGCGGTCACATGTCGCCGACCTTTCGATTAGCCCTGGATGCCTGTTGGCCCGCCCTCGGGTGAGCTGCTGCGCGGATAGTGTGTAAAAGAAAGGCTCGAGGTACGGGGGCGAGAGCCCAAAATGTGGTGACATGTGCCCATTGGGGTATAAAAGTTCTCCTGGGAGAACCACGTCGACACCTTCATCCGTGCAACAGACTCTGGTCCTCAAGGATAACTTTACTATGGAACTGCAGGCGTTGTTGATGAGAGATCTAGAGCGAATCGCCAGGCACTTCACATGAAGACCGCCTCTTGTACTCGCACGCCGTGATCGCAAAAAGCATACGTTACTCAGGTGCCGCATAGGAGCCAACACATCGAGTGCCAATATTGATCGCGTCCCGCCGCCTACCCCGAAGAAGTTCCCAAGACCAAGGAAGAGCACCGTGTTGATCTTCGATCGAGCTTCCTTCCAGTCATACCATTCCGCTCGGCCTTGGCTGTCGCGAGATCCACTCGTCGGAACGGCGCAAGCCCAGCGAGGTCTCACTGCGTCGCGGAATGGATTTGTCACCCATGGCGAACGGTCACGCTCCGGATCTGAAGTCTTGGGGCTGCCTCGTACATGGCAACGGACCAACGCGTATTGGACTCGAGCGCGGCGTTTGCACTATGCTGTAAAGGACAGCGTCTGCTTCTTGCGATCGACGGTAGAGCTTCTGCGCGGTTCGCCTACATGATCGAATGATCTCACTAGACCTCCAACATCACTCACCTTCCGCTCCGTCTTAAAGCCTGTGTTTGCTTATCATCTTTGCTGCACTAGTCACTTCAAGGTGATATCCGACCAGTCGCGTTAGTCGTCAACATGCATGTCCAGCGTGCATACCCATTGACGAACGTCTACCCAGCAGTCAAGCAGCGATCTCACTGCCTCGATTGACCTTGCGGCTTTTGAGGATGTACTTTGTCCGCAACAACATGCCCTTTGGTGCCTCCAGCGCGCCAAAGAGGAAACAAAGACGAGTCTCAGAAAGTCAGCCAATACACACAGAGAGAAGTGCCTAGACTTTACCAGTCAAGTTTCATCGTGGTATATAGGAGTGTTTCGCCTACGTTCTGCCGCTGCGCCTAGGACCTTGGCCGAGGAGAGCTCTTATTCGGAAACGATAGTCCCCTAACAGTGGTGTACATTTCGAACACTGGGGATGCGGTGGATAGCTTCTACAAAAAGCAACGTCTCTTCTTCAGCCTTTCGGCTAAAGCCTCGTCGACAAACTTCTCGTGGGCTGGCATCTGTTTAGAATCGCAGAGCAAGAAGATATTGTGAGCAAGCAACTGAGCTCTGGACTGGTGACTGGTCATCATGAGATTTTGCCTGTGCAGGCTTTCGAAACGGGACCTCTCAAGAGTGAGGCTCAAGGTCTAGACCTGTCCGTTGACATCGCTGACAGTATTTTTCCTCATGTTCCACGACATGTTTGATCAGTAACTCGCGCTTGCTCATCACACTATCTTCTTCGCAATGCTTCTACGACAAACTCACAGGGATTGCGATCGATGTGAGCTTTAACGTAAGGCTAATTTGAAGTAGCATATATGCTTTATAGAAGTTATCGTAAGAGTTGTTTCCTAAAGTAGCTTACATAACTGCTCTTTAGAGCAGAATTTTTTTTTATAAGTAATCTATCTCTCTATACTTAACTTATACTAACATCTACTAGATTATAAGATTAACATAGTTTATAAGCAAGGTGCTTATCTAAGTAAGCTACTTATCTAACTCTACTAAAATATCTACGCAGCAACGTAGCATAATACTTTAATAAATTTATATACTATATATAATAGAATACTATTCTTTAGAATTATTGCTATCTTCTATATTCTATATTTCTATCTTATAGATATAGATATTATATCTAGTCTTACTATAAGTACTATTGTTAGATAATATAGCATTAATAGATACTAGATGCATAGTAATGATAGAAATAAGAGTATATTATTCTATAAGACTAGAGACAAATTACTACGAAGCTATAGTAGCAATTAATAGGTATTTATATCTAAGGCTTAGTTAGCTCTAGCCTCTTAAGCTTAAGTTCTAATAACTATAGTATCTCTCTCTATATACTTTCTTTAATAATCTATTACTATTATTATTAGGCTAGCAAATAGATATAGATAACTTATATATAGGTATAAGTTAAGATATAGTTAAGTATAAGTTAACTAAGGTTAAGTTAATGCTAAGACTATATAAGTTAAAGTTAAGTATTATATAAGAAAGTTAAGTCTAGGTTAACCTAGGTTAATTTTATTATATAATACTTAACTATATAATTAAGTATTATATAAGCAAAAATTTAATCTTCTAAATTACTTAATTTAGTAGTATAGATGCTTTAGAGAATAAAAAAAATTATTAAATTTTTACTTATATAATACTTAACTTTAACTTTAACTCTATTATATAATATACTTAACTATAACCTAAATATCTATAACTATAATCTAACTTATACTTATTCTAGCTAGAAAGTTTAGGTATAGATTAAGTTAATTTAGAGTTTATATTATATAATACTTAACTATAATCTAATCTATAACGTAGTTTATAAGTAAGCTAGCTACCTAACTAAGCTAGCTACTAATCTCTACTAAAACGCCTGCGTAGTAATAATGTATAATATCTTAATAATACTAAGCTTAAAAGACTTATACTAAAGCAGATATATAGCTTATTATCTCTAATATTAATTTTAACTAAATCTAAAGTAAATAATACGCTATAGCTATCTATAACGTCTCTTAAAGTACTATCTAAGACTATTATATAGAGTGCTACTCTTAACGTAACTATAAGCTAAATATAAAGCGCTTTATAAAACTAAAAAAGAAAGTAATTATAGAGCATATACTTAAGTATTCTATACGCAGTCTGCCTATCTTAAAAGCTAATATATAAGATATAGCTAATAGACTACTTAGAGAGCGCGCTAGTAAGCCTATTAGTAAGAACTAAGTTAATAACTTTATTAAGTATACTTCTAAGCTATAAATATGCTAGAGCTATCTATATAATTGCTAGTAAGCTATCTATAAGAACTTAGTAATTATCTAGCTCTAGTTTATACTAGTTTAGAGTATAAAGAAGAAGTATAGAGTTGCAGATAAGAATATATATAACTTTAATAAGTCTAGCTTCTTAATAAGCCAAGATATTCTCTTAGCTTATAGTAATAAGTTTAGAGAAGTCTAAGAAAGTAAAGAAGCTCTAGCTTAGTAATTATAAGTAAATTATACTAGTATAAGATATTAGCGTAATAAAGAAAAGTAATTCTACTCTTTTTTATCTTTATAAGTAAAGTTCTTATTTTAAACTAGTTCTATAACTTTCTATATAACTAGATTATTTAAGTTAGCTCTACTAGCTAGATAAATAATAATCTAGCGCTTATTTAGCTTAAATACTTTAACTCTTATATGCGTCTTATTAGAGTATATAAGCTACTTATTATTAATAGCTATAAGAGCTATTATATAGTAGAATTCTAAAAACGCTATAAAAAGAAGAAGATTATTACTCTCTATATGCCTATATACTTATTTTATCTATTATAGCTACTTAATATTACTTATTTCTTACTATTAAAGCGCATATATAATAATAGTATCTTAGCCTTAGTATACAGTTATATCTACTATATTAATAAGAAAATCTTTCTACTAGCCTTTAAAGCTACTTTTAAGAAGATATTTATAGCAGAGAATATTTATATAGAGTTTTAAGGCGCTAAATTAGCTCTATATAATCTAGAGATAGTATTATTAAAGCTTAATATATACCTCTATACTCTACTATTAACTACTATTAAGAATAATGCTTAGTAGGCAAAGATACTATATAATGCCTATAAGATAGAGGCGCAGAGTATACTTATTTAATAGAGAGTATAAAACTATATAAGTTCTATAGTAAGATTAATAAATAAAAAGATTATATAGCTAAGTAAAGGCGCTTAGCAGATAGCGCATAATATAGTATTAATATAGAAAGAAATAAGCTACCTTTAAGATACTATAGAAGTAATAATAAAGTATAAAGTACGTAAATAATAATATATATAAATAGAGAAGATCTTAATAGTTAGTAAAGTATTAGACTTAATTACTATAATAGCAGAGAACTATTATAATAATAGTAATAGACTATTAAAGAAAGTGCGCGCAGAGAGGCACTATAGCACTTATAGCAAGACTAAATATAATACGTGCACCTATAAAGTAAAGATAGAAGATATAGAAGATAGCAATGCTTCTAATAAATAATATATTTATCATAGTATTGATATATAAGAACAGTAAAGTACTAATCCACGTAACTAAGCTAACTAAGCTTAAGAAGTAGACTA